TTTTCGAGCCAGTCTCTGATCCATTAGAACCATCCAATTCAAAAGACCTACTTTCGGTCTCTTCCAAATGGGGTCACTACGTGAGACAAGCTCCAAGTGATAGCTGAGGAATGAGAGAGCGGATATGCCAACGGAAGTGACGTCAACAGCGCCAGATTGAGAAATACACCACGGGACAATGCCAGCGATGCCGCTACTGGGAACGATGACCACGACAACGCCGCGGGCAGTTTCAGTTCTACCAATACTACTGGCTCTTGTAGAGCTGTAACGGCCACTACAAAACCAGGCAAGGCCCCTAACCCAGTAGGCATGGGCAAGCAGGCAAACCAGAAGCTACGCTGCCTGCGCGACAGCTAAAACAGAAAGTTAGCGAAATAAGCGGCCTTACAGCATAATATTAGAATAGATGGTCGCTGTCTACCGCTACGAAATGGTACGCACGTAGACAGACAGGCAGGTAGGTGGGCAGGCAGGAGGGCGAGCAGCTGTGTAGTTGATAAGGGCGATTTATTGTCGGAGTTACCACTTTGGCTGAGGTGAGGGCTTGGAACAAGAGAACTTTTTTACAAACCAGGCTGCTCTAAAGGAAGCATGTTGTTAGTCGCTGCAATGGCGGTTAAAACAAGGGCCATCGTTCAGATCTTGGCTGGAATACGTTGCCTGAAGAGTTTTGCCTACTAATAGAAAGCTATACGTATCTCTCAACCAGAAATGGAAATACAGACCTTCCACGCGAGGCGACGACAGTAGATTCAGCAATGAATTTAGTTAGCTAGAACATCTATAGCATTTTATATCCCATACATTCGAAGTATATGTTTTTACAATTGCTAAACGTATATCATAAGTCATTCTTCCTTTTTTTTTCAGAATGAGATAGTTATTTTTTTATTTGGTTGTCCTGTATGTGTATGCCAAGCACTTATTAATAATAGGAAAATACATAATCGGGATTAGTTTTTGATTAAATATCAGGCTACGTACTTTAAAAATATCCTCCAGCGGGATTTACTCGAATCGTATTTTTTAATAATAAAGTATAGTCACCGCTGATTTTGTCCCCCTACAGACGATGCTCGAATATTGACGGACTAATTACGCAAGGCATGTGTGAGACGATCGAGGTTCTCAGCGTTACCAAGAATAGCGATTAAGGGTACCGTAACTGAATCAATTGTCCTATTGACAAAAAAAGCCACTGTGTCTAAACTGACGATCTTCTACACGCGCTCTTCTTTAGCCTTAGGCGAGGCTCACGTTGGTTTTGTATTTCTAACGAATCGTTAATGCCATATGCTAAACGCAGGTAGGCATTTCGTTGCCTGATTTAAGGCTCCGGCTTTCTGCTCGCAAATGCCTTTAACAACCTGCTCATTTGATGCTAGATAGTGGCGCACACAGAAAAGCTGCGATACCAGGTCATCTCTACATGTCAATGTGTACTAGAACTCTATAGCTTTCCAATGGTCGGAATTACATTTCTGGGTGAATAAACTCCGTGTCGCATCGATATGATCTAAAATAGAAACGTAATCTATTCGAGATAGTAGCTGTTTTCACACAGTTACAATGGAACAGCACAAGTAAGAGTTTAAGATATCCTATACAAACAGACGACTATGAAACGAATATGTGATAGCCATTTTTCTTCTGCCAAAAAAAAATTACCAGAGATTTTTTTACAATAACTAAAAAAACTTACACAACATCTACTTCACGTAGGCTATCCATTTCGTCAGGTTGTATTATTTTTGCTTTTGTAATGTCCACGTCGACTGCTACTGAATTTTGCCGCTGTATGTGATTGTGTTTTCGCTCGATTGGCTTTTGATCACCACATCAAAGTCAACACGATTCCCTCCTGGTGATTCAGATCGAAACGAAAGAAACCAGATTATTTCTACATCAGCGATGAGCTTAGATCATTTTCCTAGTTGTGATGTTCATTACCGTACAAATACGTGCTGCTTTCTTCTTATAGAAACAGTTGGTTTATTAAAGCATATTGAAGACAAGCCTAGGTCTATGGAAGAGACGTTACCGAACATCGAAAATTCTGAAGTTATGCTACGACATATCAGCTGAATGAAACTGACGCAATTACACTTTCGACAGAAATAAATGTTCTTTCTTATAAAAAAATGTGGTCTGAATCCAAAAAGGAAAGATCCATATACGATGCGATGACATCGTGATTGTAGTATGCTCCTTTCGATATCTCTTTCTTCCCGTCGATCGCTATTCGCAATCCACGATAGCCCCCTAGGAGCGTGCATACTCGGCGTGTGACGTAAATGTTGCTTGAAGATTGATGATTCCTACTGGGAATAGATGCGGTGAATTCTGCCCCTTAGTTACTAATTTTAATCGTGTTATGAAGCGCCAAAGGTAAAATAACGACGAATATCAACTTTTACGCCAAACGAAGCCAACTTACCCTAACTGTGCACTAGGTCCGGAGTCCTTTCACAAACTACACAAAAATCGCAGATAATAAAAGTGTTATTTTCAAACGGCACTCTATCAAAAGATGTAACGCCCTATAGGCCTGTGATATTTTATTAGAACTACAGTCATAGCCTTTTTCCATTGCGAGGGTATAACAAGTCTGCTAGCAGGTTACGAATTTAAAACGAGCTAGACTAGCGTTTATTTATGGGCAGCATACCATGAACGCTCGTAACCTTGTTTAAGCGAGATAAAAAAAAAGCCCCAAAAGTTTCATTTCCGTTGTACATCACATCGCTTGAGATATGCCTTCCACTCTCATGCTTCATCGTATCCAACGCATTGTTGCTTTTGCCCGTTAGCCGCAAAGGATAGCATTTCTAAACACGGCGAAATCCCTGCCCCAGCGTAGGATTTAAATGAAGATTGTAGTTAGTTCAATTGAGGAAATCCTACAAGTATGTAAAGTCATTGACAAATCAGTTTCGCGCACCTTCGATTTCAATCAAAAATATCTCTTTCTAAAAATTTCTAAAAAGAAAATTCTAATGATGATTTTTTCTAATTTTTAATGTGATAACGTCCGCTAGAAAAGGGAGCTAAGCCACTTACTGAGACGTGTGGTACGGTGGCTGTTTACTACGACATGCATGAACATCCGAGCCATTACGCATAATTCAGGTATCCGATTTTGTCTTCTTCAGTTCATAGGAAGACATAGACGTTCGATGACAACGACGTTTTTGCGACCACAGATTATATTAAAGGAAATCTCAATGATTTTTATGCTCCTTTGACAATACATAAATTCGTGTACGGGGTTACGAAAAGAGGTATCCATAAGGACCCTCCGACATCGTATCGAATAAGAGTGGTTGTAGCCATCGTAAACCAGGTAGAAAACCTTGGTTGAACTGTACACAAAGGTCTGCGTGTTTGAAACGACCTGAACTATTTCAAGGTTGAAAAGTTGAATACGAGGAAGAGGTTAACTGATAAACCTCATTTCTAGATATTGGATGACAATGCTCAACATGTGTACAAGCATTCGGCCAAAACATCCTACGCGTCCTATGTGACCCAGCGGATTAGAGATTAGGACATATGGTGTAGGCTGTGATTTTTATCCGCAATGTGGGAGCTCTACATTTTGTCATCGGTTTATGGAAAAGCGCAAATACAATCAGATAATTCAGAAGAAAATTGTTTATTTATGTATTAAAAGCGGTACCTGGATAGGAACTATGTGATCACGTGTAACAGGACACTATGTTATACGGCAAAGTATACCTCTGAGATATTTATTGTTAATGGTGGTATTAAAGCTTGTTGTGGCCTGGAAATTCGCCTGATTTGGGTCCGGTCGAACATATACGCCATTATATCGAAGAGCGAATCAGGGCCACAAAGAAAATGATGGCCATCTCACAACTCCAGAACGCAGTGCTCTGAGTATGGGTCCAGGATCGAAGCGCGACGGAGATGTTCTACCGGCAGTATCGTCATGTAAACAATCTTTCAAAACAATAACGGGACAACTTTTATCGAAATAAAATAGCACACACAAGTTTAGCTTTAATGTAGAGCTATCATCGATCAAAACTCGACGATAAGTTACATTTCTATTTAATTGGCCAACTATTGTATATCTACTTAAAACGTCTTATACGTCATGCTGCTGTGAAATGGGGATATTTCAGCACCGCGCTGGTATTAAAGGTATGCATAAATACATCTCTATAGATAGTATCATATGTGGGAAGATGCAGTAATTTCACTAAAGCTTACAACTTCTCAGCTATTTTCGTGATTAAATAAGCAGTTTGACACATTACTCTGTGAGAAAAAATTGTTCAGTATTGCCAAGGCTGAGCATTAAGGACTCTACTTTCACGTAAAGCAGGTTGTAGGTCGTTCGTTCATAGATGATTCCTAGGACACTAGGAGATGCTAGAGTGCGGTCAGAGTCTACTCTGTAAACACAATTACGTCAACGCAGTTACGACATAATATGCTTATAAGACTTCAAAGTGTGACTTTTATTGTTATTTTTACTCGCTTGTTGAGCAAATAGGCAAACCTTAATAATGATGGCAACAACACGTGTGAGATGGAGGTTTGCTGAAGTTTAGACGCTTCCTCAATACGTGCATTGTTTAAGAGGCACATGCTAGCAAAAACTGCTCTCATATAGATTTTACTAACGGCGTATGGTGCTAAGCCACCGTTGTTACAAATGCCAGCTAATACTTGAGTAGAAGGACTTCGATTCTGAGCCGCTCTATTCGGAACACAGAAGCCGCACATATCGAAGATCTAAATAGCCTATATAACGTATCAACGGAATTATTCATTTCACTAACGGTAAATGACGACTCGCCGATTTTATCGTTTCTATGGGCCACATAGCTATGCAGCCAGATCCCCTGTGTATAATGCTATCACTCCATTGTCTCAGGTTGGGGAAAAATTAGTGTAAAACATTTTCTGTATAGCTAAGATTCTCATATCTTTCTCAATTTGGCGTTTGTTTATTTTTCATTGAATAGGTGAAGACTCGTGTAGTACGTAAGACGACAAATCCTGTCTATGACGAAGACTTCACGTTCTATGGCGTTACGGCTAATCAGGCCGTGACTGGCACACTTCACTTTGTCGTACTGAGCTTTGATCGATACTCACGTGACGATGTAATTGGGGAGGTTCTTTGCCCGGTGGCAGAGCTCATCGACGGTGATACGACCTTGCACGATCAGGAAAGGGCATTTGTCAAAGAGATTGTGCCCAGGCATTTCAAGGTGAGTACTATTCGTAATGTACTTGTATTCAAGTGTATTGTGTACTGTATTGTGATTCTTCGTGGGAAAGACAAAACCCAGTACGTACGCTGTGTTTTGCTTCACCTATGTACTCTAAGCATCAATAGTATGTAGTACAAGCTCCAAAAAATACGAACGCTTACTACCGCCGGCGTTATTTGCAGCAGCAGCAGCATTCGCCATGAATGCTTGTAGGACCTGACGGAGAAAGTCGCTTCCTTGTGGGATCCATTCAGCTACCAATACCAATGATGTTTAATGGCAGTACTATTAGCTCAAAATTACTATGTTGAACTAGTTGTCGGTAATTTTTGTGGGCAAATCTCGGGCAGGGAAAGCGGCCCTCGACGATGCGCTGAAAGAGCACAGTCGGCCAGCGAAACAGGCTGAGTTGTGATTGGTATGCACGCTTTGAGTGATGATGACAACACTGGAATTAGTGTTCTTCCGTCGCACCCAATGGTTATCGCCGTGCAGTCATCCCAGCCATTCACAAACCCAATTGGGTAGATCTGTGTCTTCTATTTAGTACAATTGTATACGCCTTATTAACCTATTAGCTTTTGTGATTACTACGTTCCATCGAAGAATAATAGTTTCTTTCATAATATAGCGATAGACTTAGATTCAAAGCTATGATATAAACGACTGATTCAAACCGCGGCCCCAAACATTCATCTCTATGAGAAGACAGTATCCAACAATTAAGCTTTTTTCATCTCTTTCGAATTGCCATAATAGAAGTACTTCCATGACAGAATAAAGAAAGCCGAAATACGAAGCGGAATTGAACAGGTCCCTAGTAAAAGACGTAAAGGAGCAAAATGGTGTCGTTTTTATTTCTCTCGTTTCAGCTATCGATAGTTTGAGTGCTTGCTCCCAATGGCAGGTGTACCAATTGTGAAGACAATGTCACCCATTTACCGCATGCAAAATAATCGTCTCCGAAGACATGTACGCATCTTTCAAGTTGATGGAACCCCGCTCAAGTCAACGTGCGTTGTTATCACGACAGTATGCGTTTAGCGTAGAATAAGATCATTCCATCTACTTAACGCAACGTTTATTACATGCGTCAACTTCGTTACCTTTACCTATCTCAAAAAAATAAGAGGGAACACGCAGTCAGACCTTTTGTGTCCTATTGTAGGCTTCAACCTATCCATATGGAGTGCTTTGTCAAATTCTCCCGGCTAAATGTCACATGCGCGCCATATCTTAAATGCATTCTAAGCCCAGGCCAAGCCGCTAAATGTCAACCGCGTCTAAACATGAAATTGAACATGGATACTTCTGTCATCATCGTAATTGTGACTTCATGTATATGATTTCCTTCGGATTCCGCTCTGGGAAGTTTCGACATTTCAGAACTAGCTTCAATAGACAGTTGGTTATTCTCAGACTGGCACACTTCTTATAGGCTCACACCTTTGCTCACAAGAAACCTAGCCGATTGTGACTGTCCTATACTCGTTTTGCATGGGCTGGACCACTGCGTCAGTTCATGTTATTCCAATAGCTGCTTCTACTTGTACCTCATGGACTGAATAGGTTTGTGTGCTCAAAGGTCGCAGCTAAACGAAGATCTGTTCTGTCCATCTGGTGGACGAGTCAATTCAACAAATCATTTTCTCCTACGTTGTTGAAAGGTAGTCTGAAGTCAGGCGTCTGTAGTAGCCCTCGTATTTTTTGAATATTGTAACAGCCATAATAATCAAACAAGCGTACTATTTTGTTCTCGTAACATAAACGCTTCATTTTTCTGCATTTCCAATACACTGTAGTTAGTGTGAGAGTTTAGTCACCCGTACGGCTTCGGTTTAATTATCGTTATTTCAGTTTAATATTCGTTATTATTATAAATATCTTGTTTTTCAGATCAAAAGTGCCGGCCGTGGGGAGCTGCTCGTTTCGCTGTGCCATCAACCAGCAGCGAATCGGCTGACCGTTGTGATTCTCAAGGCGCGGAACCTGCCTAAGGTTGATGACAGCGGACTATGCGGTCAGTGTTGCGATAAAACGATGTATTAATGATCAATAAGTGCCTATATATATTAAGCTGTTACCAGCAAATCAGTGAATCTTTAAATTAAGCTACCTTTGAGCGGGTCGCCAACAATGAATTTTGGTCGGTAGTACTCTAACTTTTTAGAAACTCGTAACATTGATTAAGCTTATCCCAGGCGAAATAAGTTGTTTAGGAAAAGCTTCGTTTTGTGTCGAAAATCGACGCTCAGTGGCCGATATTTCGTTCCTCGAAGGCCACAGTGATGCAGAAACACATTAAAGATTGACGAATTCATCAAAAAAAAAAAAAAAGCATTGGGCTAGAGCGATGTACTACATCAAAGGCGAAAACGTCTCAAGAACGAAGATTGGAGTGTTAAAAACCAGCGAAAAGGTGGCTAGATATCGGGATTCGTAGGAATGCAGATCGCTATCTCGAGGTGCTCAAGAGACTCACGAACCGTTAACACGGCAATCGGAAGCATGCAGTCTGTTTACTTAATGACAACGTCAGACCTCCTTACAATGCCTTGTCGCAAAAATTAACGTTGGCCTCAACCAGCTAGTAGTTGCGATCCTCGTCCGCGTAATCAAATAGCCCTCCATACCTTAAAAACAACCCATCGTAGATTTTCTTTGAGAAAAAGAACTACATATATAGCCGTTCGAAAGATACCGCAGCGCTTGAACAATTCTGTAAAAAGTAAAGGCGAATATTTCTAACGCGTGTGAAAAAGTTCTACCCTAACTAACTTAAAACTTCACTTTCAAAGCTCGTCGGATTTACTTACATTCGCCCATTAAATAAGGTCTCAAAGATATATGTATTGTTATCATAAAGAGATTTTCAGCTTCGGTTGACTAATCGTTAGGCGCTAACGATCGAGCTGCGTTTCTATTGCAATATAGATCGACATATATATTTTTTCACACCAAATTAGCCTATGTGTCTACCGATGTGTCGTTGTCATCACAACTGGTATCAGCGAGAGGAGAAAGCGGTAAATTTAAAAATATACGAAATATTCATCCAAGTAGCGATCATAAAACACTGACGGAGTGTGAAAGAAGTCGCCGTTGAACCTGCTCTAAACTACTCGAGGCGTATGCAGTAGGATAAAATGTCGGAACGGCGCGCGTCTTCGGATGATCGCATAGGCGTCCCTCCAAGCTAGCTGCTTGATTTCAATCAGATAAGAATAACCTATTGTGAGGACGCACTACCTGTAATTCATATGGGAATATATGGACTGTTCGCGCAAAAAAACGGTTTCAATTAGAGCGTGTCGAGTTGTCGTTTTAATCCGAAACGTTCGAACTAAGCATCAAGAAATCGAGCGAGTGCGATGATTCTGTGAAACGCACCACGTATCACCTGCAAGATTTGTGGATCAATAGGTTATAGGAAACGCCGACCCAATGCGGGTGGTTCCAACAGGGCAAATAGAACAGGTTCCGCTGTGTTTCCCAGAGCTGTAAGAATATGTCATGGATGATTATAGTACAGGAAACCATGTCCGGTTTTCAAGTGACTGTTATCGCAGGTCTGAAGATTTGACAGCATCAAGTGAACCAGTCTGAACAAAAAGTGAAATGACGGAAATAACCATTTTTCGCCGCTCTTCGGAAATTGACAGATATAAGTATTTTCTGTCGCTACTTTTATACAGCAATGAGGTATGTCAATGTGGCGTCACTACAATCGTGCCTCAAGCGTACATTATTCAGAAGTTCGGAGGTGTCTCAAGCACTAAATCGACACACAATAAAAACTTTGCGATAGATATGTTCTTTGACACGTGTGATGATGACGACGACGACGACGACGGGCGTAAGGGTCATGTGTGTGCGCCACCTAAATTTAACTCCTCCCGCCTCCTTCGTTGACGTAAACGAGTTCATACCCATGCGATGACGATGGAACTCCACTAGAGTGGCAGCACGCTATTGCGTACATCGTGATTTTCGAATATTCCACCGCGCACCTGAGCCGAACCCCTTACTCATTACCCTCAAGAGTATAACTTGCTCTGTGTGTGCATATGGTACGTTTGCCTGAATATGAAATGACAACCTTAAGGGCAGTCGGAATTCTAGGTTGCACAAACTTCTGGCATCGGTGACAACACGAACACGTCTTGCGACAAAAAATTTACAATTTAATCGTATGTAGCCGTTATGGCAATCGTGCGTGCATGGGGATCAGCAGGAAAATTAAAAATCAAAAGAAATTTAGTAATAATGCAGTCTCTCAAATAAAATTTAGTCAAGAATATTTAATCACCAAATTCTGCCTAGGCCAATAAAAATTGCAATCACTATTTCCGCTAACGGTAAGGAAATTTAGCGAGCGAAGAGCGCCTCGACATAGTCCTCGTCTAACATGTGTTTCTGGGTTGGCTTTCGGTCGCTTAACTCTGTGTGGTAACCGACGCGTCCTTGGCCTTTCGAGAGATTGGTACGTTGGACAGACCCGACTAACCTAACTTGACCCGATGTTAAGCGTCGTTGCAGTGGTCGTGATTGTTGTGGTAATTTGTTTCGTTGCAATTCGTCCTAAAGCAAGAGTACATAGGGTGCACCCATTGATGGAGCACTCGTAAGCCCAGCTTTTGTTAATCAATCAGGCCGTTACGTACGAAAGGACATCTTGATCGCTTCCTAACGATGAAAAACCGAACTTAAAGACAGTGTTGACAAAAATCATTCACTGTAAGTTACTTATATCCACAGATATTAGAGGGCTAGTCAAGCGACAAATCATTTAAAGAGAATAACAGCTCTTATATTGTTCACGTTGGAAACTACACCTATAACGCTACATACATGCATATGTTCAAATCATGATAACTACAATGCCATTTATATCTGTGCTACTATCAACTAACTTACTAAATTGCCATGAAAGCCGTTTCGTGGCAATTTAGTAAGTTTTTGCAACCGATTTTTGGTTTATAAGCAGATGTCAACTGAAAAATATTTCCCCAGGTGTCAGCGTCCACTATCCGAAAGCGTCACATATACATTAGAAATGAGCAAGTTTCGAAAACAATAAGAAATATAAAGAAATCAATCTTTGAAAGAAGCTCTGATGTTCGCACAAGGTAGCTGGCTCTTATTTGGACATTACTGTAATTAAGCTAACTTCGTTAGAACAAGAAAATACAATAATAAAAATAGAAAAAGTAATAAACATAATTCAAGCCTCTATATTGCATACAGAGTCTATAACCACACTTACAATACTTGTTTGTTTATTAATAATAAGGTACGATTTCAAAAATCATCGCTTTTAATTTTAGGTCAGGTACACCTCAGCGAAACATTGAAACAAGCTTATTCCTGACTGTCGCATCGAACTCTTGTCCATTATTTGCTCACGGTTAGGCTGAAAGGCATCGGACTCCCTTCTGTTCTGGTTCAGCACTCACAGAATCAAGTTAGCCGGACTAATGACGTACGTTTTTTTCTCACACAGAACACCAACAACTCAAACACAGGGTCAAACAATCAGTTTTTTTCACAATCCATAAGAGTCTACGGGCGGTCCCCTTCAACAAGTCACACTTAGAGTATTCGTTTTACTTAGTCGTCCACAATTAAGTTACGTAAGCACGGCCAAACGCACAAATATACCAATGCTTAGCTTCTCAATTGTTTCAACGTTTTCTTCTTAGCAGATTATCCTATGTCACGTGTTCGATGTCTTTCATCATGGTAGAGTCTCATCACTTTTAGACCAAAATCCAATTAATCCTATTAGAAAATTGTGCGTTTGGTCACAACTGCCTTCAGCGCTACTACTACGAGGATGTACAGTCATGAATATTTTTATTTTTCAAATAAAGGTTTATTAGTTATATTTTTTTTTATTATTGTGTTTTCCTAATTTAAAATTATACAATAGTTATAAAATTAGATATTTAATATTGAATAATTTTTTAATTCATTTACTTTAATTATTATAATAATATTAATAATTTATTTAATATTATCTTTAATTTTTATTATTGAAATAATTTCTTTTGTAAAGATACCTTTACGGGTAAAAATTTTAATGATTTTTCGAAAAAGACAATTAATATCCTATTTAAATATAGCTTTAGTAGATTTACCGACACCCTCTAATACCACCCCACCCTATACGCTGCATTTCAGCTTCATCAATTTACCAAAAAACGCTTTATATATATACATATATATATATATATATATATATACATGGAGTAACAACTTTTTTGAGTGCTGTACTTTCGTTATTGTTTTAATTGCGACTAAGTAGAGTCGTTAGCTTTATTCTACTTTGTCCACTCGACAACGCAAAATACAATTCTTGCTTTCGTTTTAGGCAGTTTTCATCGCAGCAGATAGCTATCAACTTCCGCAAGGTACCCATAGCAGGAAGCAAAACAACGCCGCAGCAACGGCAACAACAATAATGAAAACTCTAAATAAATGAAAATGACTTCAATTTTTGGCCTCATTTGCCCATTTAGACGGCCATTTGTATCTATGGCCCTTCCCATCTTATCCAGTATAGGAAATGTTTAAGGAACTAGCCCATTTTCCACTGCGTCCCATGTGCGAAATTATCACCGCCCTTAGCAGTGACAATGACAATATTTTCGCAGTGTTAGGGTGAGCAACATCGATTTTCCTTTTTGTGTTCCATCCGCGCCTTCTACATAGCATCACCCCACTGCACCACACGCACTCCGCTGTAACGATGAACACAGGGATGTGCCCCGGCTCAGAGCGGGAAAATGAAGTAAAGGCAACGGTCGTACCCCTCTTCGTTCATTTACTGCATACTAGCGAGCGAGAGGCCAAACGAGGCCAAAGCTTATCACCACATACCGTAGCTGTTAGGACGCGTTCAATAATGAAGACGAAATGTAAAGGGGGCTAGCCAGAACAAATACATGAGTAAGAGTACTAGGTTCTTACAGCCAGCCAGCCATTGCCGTCTAGAGCCATCATTGGACTGAGGTGGGTTTGGCAAGCGTACTGGGAGTGTGTATGGTTGGCTTAGCCACGGCCAGGGTCAAATGAACCGGCAGAATACCGCGATAGAAAACACACATTCGCCCTAGTCCATAACAGGCCGTTGCCTGTGGCCATCGCTTCTCTTACTTGGGTCCTGCTCATAAGCTTATAAAGGGTTTTTTCATCAATGGTGTTTCTTGTCTCGCAGCCCAGGATCTGCGATCTGTTAGAGACCCATGAAAGGGAGTGTACGAAGTGAAAGCCAATGGGCACCTGCATTCATCCCAAGTGGCTTTGGACTTAGAAGGAAATAACTGAGGGACTGGAGTGAATAGCCTAGCGAAAACGGCGGAGGTAAGCATGGACGTGGAGAAAATGCAAAAGCAAGAGGGGTGGAATGATGGCTGGCAACGATTCTCCATCTGCTACATGAATTTTTTGATGTGGGAAGCAGATATGTTCTTGTGTACATAGAGTAAACTGGGAGCAGGACGACTACGACAGCCTAAGAAAAAGAACAAGATATTACTTTTCCAAGCACAAAATAGTTCATGCTTCGAACAAATGATAATTCGTTCACAAAACACACTTGATAAACACTCTTGGGCACATAACTTAATAAGACGGCTGAAGAATAACGAAATGTTTGACAAGTTATAATACTGATCGGGTGGAATTTACCAAGTTTGTATTACTTGGAAAAAGATCCGTAGGATGAAATAGAGTGTCGTACTGTTTATTTTACCTTTTCGACTTTTTTGACTAAGAAACTGGGGAGTTGTTACGATGATATGCTTCTACGATATTACGCCAGATACAAGAGTATTTTAATGGTCCTCCACAGATGTTAGTGGCTGTATCTTCGTTCTAACGATGTGTAGGTTGTATTAGGTTGTTGTTATTGGATGTCGATTTGACATCGCCTCCGTCAAAATAGATCCCGAAATGAACAAGTACTGCCATGGCAAACTTAATCAAAATGATGACGTCGCTCTGTTCAAGACTCTTCCCGCGTAAACCTTTACGGAAAACTCGAAAATAGACACTCCCATGGAAGTCAATCTCGTATTGTCTCCTTGATACTATAGTAGAAAGACCCCAGAATATCATTTTTTCGTCGGCTGTCTTCTTCCACTGGTAAAAGAATTACACCCCTCAAAAAAGTGAGTTTATATTTGAAGTATAAACTAAAAGACACTCGGGTCCTATTAGGATATCGGGTACAGCTGAACACCATATGGTACTTGACAATGTTTTGATTTGCTTCTGTACTATTCAAGGATCTTTTACATAAAATATGCAAGGAGCTTATTATATGTATCATATATAAAACATTCTCAACAATCTATCCACCTAAACGTCATATATTTCGCCTAAATTTTCTCCACAGCCTAAGACGATTTGCGTTTAATTCCGACCTACATAGGTTTCATAGGCGTAACGGAAATACTTTTTTTAGTTTAATTCGCTCTTATTTGCTCTCGCTAGACGGATGTTGAAAGCAATACCTGAAACGTTTTATCTTAACGAATGTACATAAGAACAGTATATTATTTGACAATTTACCTAACACTAGCTACCTAAACGTCCTGTTGTTAGATAATGAATCCATAATCCAGGCCAGACATATAATACTATAGAAATTAACCAACTGTACTATAACTCCAATCGTTAGTTTATAGTGATACTCGAAGTTACACCTACCTGATCCTGTTGGTACATCGGCGCTCGGACGCTTTTGAACGAACAGCGTCACTCGACCTACTACTATCAATTTTAGTGAAAAAAATTATTTTTTGCTGATCTTTTACTGCCGCCGCTATTTCTGCAGCCGGCAAGTCTCAACGGGGGATGAGAAAACTGGAAGGAGTGTCTGTATGACTGAGGCAATGAGTAAGCCGAGAGAGGATTCGCTGCGAGAGAATCTTTGCGTTCAAGGACCGAAAGCTGTGGCAAGATGAGCTTTCTGTTGATGTATAGGTGTCTACATGCATTTAAAGATGTTACCTTTGCAAAGAGTTAAGAACCTTAGAAATGCCCCGCTCGATCATTCTCTATAGCACGTTCACTGTTAATCGCATTGACGAGAAGAGGTGGTTATGTTGTTGAAGTATTGGAAATTAGAGGTAAGAGTGGAGATAACACCATGGGTCTCCCGTACACCCTATCGGCTACGTGTATAAACCGATTAGTATACCAAAGGTTGCCGGCGAAATAAAAACGCGTGCATGATGTGATGAGAGCTGTAAAACCAGGAAAACCAATATTGACGCCGATAACAATAATAAATAAACACATATTAATTAGCGAAATGAGAAGTTTACGTTTACTGCTAAATTGTATTCATTTATTTTATTATCAATATAAATTCCTAACGTCTGATAGTAAATAAACGTGGATACTCAGTTGGTGCCTGTCGCCATGTTGTTAACGGCTATGAGCATTTCAACCATGCTATTTTTTATAGACTGGCATGGCATGTAACTGGCCGGATCTTTGCCTAAAAGTTAAACAGTTTGTTATAAAATAACGTTATTTTCTCCAGGCAATAGTGACCATAATGTAAACCTGTAAAGCGCTTCCAAAAGGGATTTACACGATTACATAGAGGAACGTACGCCTACGTACAGTTTGGTAAATGAAGAAGCACAACGTTTACAACTGTCGCAGTGTTATATATAATATCTTAAAGTCGAATTCAAACTTCCAACGGCTCTTCATTGCAGCACCTGTTGATCTAAATCATATTGCTGGGTCGCTTGTAGATTTAACTTCAATGTTCCTTGAAGTAATCTTTTTCCAGGCAACTTTTTACTGGGCTTTGTACGGTTAGGCAGGACGGATTTTTTTAAAGCTATTTTTGCTACATAAGAACTTGTTCGCTAGCCCACAATTTGCATTTGTCTTGATGTTGACTGTGTGCTTGCCAACATTCGCAAATGGTAATGTTTTCCTTCTGCGGACCTACGGCTTTCTTTTGGGGGGATTATATGTATTCTGTTCATCCAAATAAAAGTGTGCCTTCGAAATGGTTTTTTGTCCTTCTAGTCTGTTGGTCCTCAAAAAAGCTATGCTGTCTTACTTGACCGTGTTAGTCTCGCGGACTTTATCTTGTGTCTTTAAACGCAAGGTACGCTGGTAACTACAAGTTACATACAGCAACTGAGTTCAACTAACTGTTATGTGCTAGGACGAAGTAGTAGGTCGTGGATCATCATGGTAAAAACTGCCAAAAATTATAACTCGGATCTTTGCAGTAGAAAAAGATTCAATAAAGAACGATAACGATTAATGAATTCTTCTGTTAAAGCCAACACAAAAATTTACTATTTTAAAAAATTCGGCAACATTGATATCAGCATAGGAAAATCACACAAAACAAACATAAGTAAGTTAGATAAACTTCGCTGGAATATAAAAACTTTCTAATATCTGTAAAGATATTGTGGGTGCGGCGTAGTGAATGCCATAATTAGCTAACGACTGTAACACGCGTTATGTACAGATAAATTCTAAATATTAATGAATGAACTTTCTACGAGGTAAGTTTCAACTGATTGTTGTTATTCTTCTTCTCGATACCCTGTTGATGGCAGATCCCTATGTGAAGATGTATTTGTTGTATAACGGGCAGCGCATCGCTAAAAAGAAGACACACGTCAAGAAACGAACCGTTAACCCAGTCTTCAACGAGAGTTTCGTGTTTGATGTACCATACAACGAGGGTCTCCATAACCTCAGCATCGAGTTGCTCATGCTTGACTGGGATCGCGTAACCAAAAACGAGGTCATCGGAAGGCTTGAACTCGGCGCGAAGGTACGTGTAATAGATGATTGCACGTGAACATTTAGATAGACTATTAAATTATATTTTCAGCAACGTCTCCCGTCGAGTTATATATTGTCCCGCGTAAATTTCGTGTTTTCAACTTGAAGAGAACTGTTAGATGAAGCAATGGGCTCTCCTTATATTGGAAAGGACATTGTAATCTAAAACACCTCATGAAATCGAAATCATTGCGTAATAGTGTATTAATAACCGAGTCAGTTAAGGATCTAGAGTAAACGCCAGAGTCATTGGAACCACAATCCTAACTTAGTTCTGTACTAGATAGTAATTATGTGCTATATGATGACTTCAAGGCCCTACCTTTGTCACTACAAATCTCGCCTAAAATATGTTATTTGTCATTTATTAAGCAATAGCATTGCTAAAAACGCAATGGACCTGGATTGACTTTGTGTTGATAACGAACCAGCTTTGCTGAGCCTATAAAGAACTTCTAATCTATTTGATCTCGATCAAAGCCTACGCAGGAATAGAACACTGCAGCTCACTAAAGGATTTGCGTCAAATCGTTACGAAAGAGGATCCATCCCACGAGTTCGTCTTGTCTGATGGCAAACGCAAGTATGGTAATAGGCGGACTTATCTGAATATCTAAATAAAGTGTGTAAGCTCCTTGAAGCCGGCGCAGCCTCGGTAGCAAAAATAAGCATCTGGTGAAGCGACATTTTCTACTTCAAGCTATCATTTACCAGTATTTAAATATCGTCGAATATTCGGTTGGTAATCTTTGTCAAGACGCTATATTCAGCATTGAATTTTGTGTTAAATCAAACTCTCAGTAGGAAGCCGAATTTTAACACAGCGCTCATGGTCTTCGACGAATGCTGAAGTGTCTGATTATATTGTTTAAGCAATAGGATCTTACTCAAAACCTCCCACTAAAATTCTATTGTTACGGTATCATATATTTGTCTGGTGCTATAATCGTGTTAACATATATGCGTTACAGAGATATGCGTTATCTATAAGTGCGTTTATTTATTTCACGAATTTCAGCATAAATTTAGTTTTTATATAAATTCATAGATCAGACAAATTGCAATGCAATATATCTGTTCGTATTAGTCGCTTGAAAAATCCCATCTCACTGCTCGAGTTGTCTGTTGCTACGAAACCCTATAAACGAGTCACACCCGTAAACGTGTATACCATGTATAGTTCATAATTCTAGCGGTAGAAATTTTGTAAACGAGCTGTTTCCCAACTGACTCTGCTTTTAAAAATCCGAGAGCGCTTCGATTATATTACTCTCCGTTAACGCATGTATCGACGGGGTCCGTTGATATTCTGCCACGACACATCTCCTTTGTGTATTATGCCATAGATAAACGTATCTGCTTCGCCTACCAGCATGCAGTAGCCAAATAATGGCACGACGATGACATGATCGGGGGCGGAGGGTTGGTGGCGTCTGGAAAGTGGAATCTGTTGCTGATACGTGCGTTGTCTGAGGCCGTTTGGGAACGCTGAATCAATTTGATAATTAAGGATTATTTGCAGTATTTCGTAATCGACTATAGCACTATTAGCACGGCAGGACATTAGATGCACGTAAAAGGAAGAGCACGATGCCGGGTTATTTAACTCTAGAATGCGTGTAACTTAGAATAACGTTATATTTTTCAATTGGAAACAGAAAGCAAAAAGATATAAATGGTTTCAAAATTAATTTTCGTAGGGAAAGATGTCGCCACTGTCGTGAAGTTCTGTCATTATACATGTACTCCACATTCTTCCGTTAGAGAAAAACCTATTGCAAGGAATTGTTGGTCACGCGGTTAAAATACCCTTAATTCAGCATAACTCTCACTTAGTCAAGAGGTTCACTACATGCTGGTTTGTGTAGGTATTTAAGAAAACACTAAATTATTGTAAACAAGTTTTTATAAATAAGGTTTTAATAGTAACAGACTCTGTTAACTGCCTTACACCAAAAAAATATTCAAGTCTGGCAATCTACGAGAGTTCCTGAATTACCAACAGCCAACAAAAATCAGGACGATTTCGTGATGCTTGCGAGACACTGTCAGAATACAACTAGCCTCGTCCGTGTACGAGGGAACCAATAGTACACGCTCACAGTTGGCGCGTGTTCATATAACGGACTAAGAGCTGTTGGAGATGGCAGCGTTGCACAGTCTTGAGTCCTCTGAAAAAGCTGGCTCCCCAAGTTAGTAGAGAAAGATCCGAAGTAAATTTTTCTATTGATACTATGTAACATACGCACATTCTGTAAAAGGTTTGTATTATAGATACTTAGCACATCGATGTTCAGCGTATTCTGAATAGTCTGAACATGCATGGGCTTATGGTACTCTATAGGACAACTGTTTTCATAAATAAAACAAAACGATTTCATGGTGTATGTTTCGATAACGGAAGAATAGTAAACGACTGGTAAGAAAATACTCATTGCCACTATTTTGAAAGACAGAATTGAACTCGCGGAAGGGAGTTGCTAAGGAAGCGCCTACTAGAACGTACTTTAGGAAATACCCTTGAAGCTTCTCGTCACTTTCATGAAGATTCCAAGCATGATCTCGCAAAAACAACTGGGTCTCCGTAAGGAAAACTTACCAATGATTATTTACCAAGTCTTGCTTGCAAAGGCAGGATCCGTCGTAAGCATTAGGGCACCAAGCAGTTCATTTATGCTGTGTTTGCTAATTTCAAAGCGACATTCGACAGAGCACCAAGGGAGCGGATTTTGGTCAAGCTCGGCAAGAACGGAGTCTCGTACGAGCTCATCTGATTTATCGCTCTGATTCTGCAAGAGAATCCCATTACGATACAAAATAGCGTAACGGAGCTGGACCTCTTCCAATAGTTAGCGGGTGTGATTCAGAACGAGAACCTCAACCTCTTACTTTCTTCAGTTTTCTTGAACAATCTCCTAGGCAGCATAATCGTCAAGCGCGAGTCTCTAGGAGCATATGTTTTACTGTACGCCTGTGACCTCGCAATTTACAGAACACGTAGGCTTTATATTCAACAGATTTTGGGCCGCCTTTAACAGTACGTAACGTTTACCGTCTTCGAAATTAACTTGGACAAAACCGACGCCATGAAAAACAAAACCACTATCAGCAAATGAGGCTCTCCGGTTGGATTCCTTGGTTTTGTATAGATAGGAAAAATACGATTTTTGCTATCTGTGCGTGACTGTAGTTTGCTGCAGGACTTGCATCTAACAGAACTCATTAGAAAATCGCTAACATCGAGCGTAGCGACAGAAAAGCTATCGCTCCTCGCCCTGAAAATGGCGATATGCTTGTTTGATGTCAAGCTTGCACCAATAGCCTTATATCTAGCATTAACCTCATGCAGGAAAGCCTGAGTATAGATGTAACGTCTATGTTAGATCAGATGGAGCTCGGTTGGCTTCTGTTTATTCCAGAATGAATTGGTACAGATGAGCTAAATGAAGTAATGGGAGAATAATGGAAATTAACAGGACAAGGCTGTTAAACTGCTTTATAGGAGTGCAAAGCTAAAGCGAATACGACGCTTTTACCAGATATTTGAGGCAATGCGGAACAGGTTGTTCCGAAGATTTATGACATCAAACGGGCAGTTGAAAGCCAGCTATAAGATATGAAGGCTGTATGGCTACAAGGCCGACTACGCGCGTCTCACAGTTTCCATGGTAGTGAAACCCGAAGGTACTCCAAAACTGCAGATTATGAGGTAGTCCAGGCCGAGAACCGGTTCAAAAGCAAAGACCTACAGCTCTAAAAATAGTTTTTGGTTTGGTTACCGGTAATAGCTAAGCAATGAAGGCCTGTCTTTCCCAGGTAATGAGAACCATACGAAAGTCGTTCACTGGTTCAAGCCTAGTACAGCATTCAACCATTTTGGTGGCCGCGCGAACTTCTTGGCCAATATTGCCAACTAAATGTCGTCAGAATCAGTGACCTGCCAATCGTTCCCTAGGGATTCCGATAGGGTAATGTCGTCGATCACATTCTTAACTGGAGATCTCGTATCACATATGTGTATGCTTGAGAATTCGACACTCTTCCGGCATATAGGCCCTTAAACTTCTTATACAATTTTTGCTGAAGTAGGCGGCTCAAAAAGGCAACAGTTAGGGATAGGGTTATGAACATCTATGAAATGAAATCAGGCAGAAAAGTGTTTCGTGTGCAATTATCCCCTAAAGGAAAATGTGGCTGGTCAAACAAGCACACAAACAGTAAGTCGCTTCTGGCCAACCAGAAAACAGAAATAAAATATGATCCAAGTTACAGGTTAAATATGCTGATATTTTAAAATCGGAATTTGCATAGAACTACATTAACCCGGGTGCCCTTGTTGAGGTCGTGTTTAGCGTCTACCCTTCCGACCTAAGCGGATAGTGAAGTCTGCAGTTATTCATGCCTACTTCGTTTATGAAACAGAAGCTATAACTCCAAAACAGGTGTTAGCGATAATATCGACCATAAATTTCAGTCGAAGCTTATATGGTGTGATGATTATGGAATGTATAACTGGTGGTCGTCGCATACGTTCTGTGTTCAGTGCACGTAAGCAACTATTTTTCTAAGCACGTAGCTACCCTCCCTTTGGCCATGAAGCATATATAATCGGTTTAATTGCTCAATGGCAAACCAGTTAGCTGTTGATGCCAGCATGGTAGAAGCCTCATAATATGCATGTTATCTCTTCCCTTTCCATATATAAACTGGCATGACGATCCTCCTAACATTGAACCGCAGTGATTACACGAAAACTGCGTGGTAGTATGACGAAAGAGGTGACTCAGTCAGTAGGACTGAACATCGCTTAAGAGAATTCATCGTTTTTTAAGTACGTCGCACCAACAACTACGTCCTCCATTCATTAGGAAATCCGCCGACCTCTCTTAATAGGTGTCGCAAGCACATGATGTCGACAGTAATGAATTTTACAACTGCCACAAAAAGTGCCTTTGATGGTCTAATGCTAACAAGTCTGTATTTTAGCAATATATATAACATGCATGTATGCTAGGTACAAGGAGCGGACATAATTTTTCATGCTGGTAAGCCAGCCATCGTCGTAGTCGGCCACGCGTAAATATAGTATTTGACTCAAGAAACAGTACAATGCACTATGAAATGTGTGTAACTATGGCATAATAAGACAAATGGAAAAAATCATCACTTAATATAAAAACCACTCTTACTAGGTATTATTCATTTGATTTATATTTTCAGATTCCTTTATAATAGCTAACTTATCTCGTGTATGCAAAGGTATTTGACCAAATAAAACGCCTTCAGAAAGGCACAGCAATCTGCACGCCCTGCTGGGATTATATTACTTCCTCTACAGGTTCATGGGGGTCATTCTTCTTGGTCGTTGCCCCGAGAATGGGGCCAAGCCTAGTCTGTGATATCCATTGTAAGCGCTTCCAACAGAGTATATTACCACGCCTTGTCTTAGCGTCAAACCACGCAAAATTTTCTACTGCCCAGCTTTGTGTCATGTTAACGAAAAATTATTCAAACCAACCGTACACTTCCCGCCTATATATCGGATGTAAGTCTCAGTGAACAGCGACGGAAGTCCTCTGACATTTCTGGTCCCGATTTATCAGTTGAGTGACGGTAGATACTGGCACGTTGCTAATATAACGTTGAGGAACCTTGTACCGAACAACGAACAGACCGTCCTGCTACAAAATATGTCAAGTAAATTCACATCTGCATTTTGTTTTACCAAATTTTTAGCACTAAGTGCGACAGTATGTTAAAATATCTGGATCTCAGTTATTAAAACTATATATATATATATATTAGTCCATTTTCGAGATATAATAAAGTTTTTCCAAAAACAGATTACAAAAACTTTGCTAATTTTTAAGAGAAACAACACAGCACCCAAATTATTTTTGTAATTATCTGACCTTTTGTTTGGATTCTTTTGTATTGATTTGTTATTATATTTATATTCTTGTTTTGTGTGATGGCAACAAATCTAAAAACAAAACATCGATTGTCCCATAACAAACTTTTGTACTTATTTCACGGAACAAAAAATTCAACACATTTTGGAAATTTTTAAAACAGCTGACCATGGTATAGGGCTTTCAGATTAGACCGTTCACACGCCATCCTAAGTGTGTGGCACAATTAATCAAAACCCCATATCTTAAATATGCGAAATTTTCTCCATTTAAAATTGTTTAAATTTTGTGCCATAGATAGCACACTAGCCCTGAGGGAGCCGAATATCATTCCTCATGTCTTAGAGTCAGTTCTTAACGCCCCATAAATTACAGGCAATGAAGTAGCATTGTGGCGAAGCAAAACTAAAATAACTCAATACGTTGTTATTTTAACACTTCGTAACAATCAACCATCTAAGAAGCTTATAGTCAGACCTTCCTGCACTTTGGAAGGATGCTGTCGAAGGTGTCTTGAGGAGTATTATCCATGCCTTTTAAGCAGTGTGGTCTAAAGTTTTTTTTTGTATAAGCAACTGAGTCAAAACCTGTATTAAACCCGATGCGATCTTGAATTTAGCAGCATCCAGAGTCCCATACATGGGCTTAATAGAAAGTTATATTAGCCTCCCTAACAAACTAAATTACCTTTTATCTTAGTATATAATATTTTCAATGACTTGATGTTCATGTGACATCATTATATCGCTATGTACTTTAGAGTTTACCTTAGAATGAACAAGCTCAAAATAGGTGGACGCACCGCAGTACATACGTACATATTTCTGCAAATTTAACTGCAGTTATTATTTCGTTATCTAGTTTCGTCTAAAATCTATTATATCTAAAACAATATATATTTGAAATGTATAAGTATATAGTTTATTCCGTTTCAGTTAAAATAGATATTGCTGGGGGAAAAGCTAAGAAAAACAATTAAGTGGAACTAAAAAGGCAAATACCAATTTCTTGTATTTCATCGTAGAAACAATAACCACGCCAAATACGTACTATATAATATAGTATTATAAGCCTAAAACGCTTTCTTGGGTAATAAAAGCAGATAATAAGGTTTACAAGGATAATATTAATAATAACAACAGTTAGTATGTATTAGAAGGTAAAAAAAGTATGGACGGTTTTCAAGTCGAGATGTTAGTAGATTTGCTAAAATGTTTTCAGTACTTTTATTCAGGCATAGCATGAAGCGCTTTAAAAATAAAGGACATTTCTGCAACAATTCGCTATATTTCACTATTTTATTGCAATAAGGGCGTAAATTCTGCCTATTCTTCCATTACAAAATGTGCGCTGTTTATGGTCGAAATGCGTTATATATTGAAGAGATAATGGATAGAAATGGCATCATTTTCAACGATGAAAATGCAAGACGACAGCATTGGAAGAACCTTCGGCGGAAAATTTTGATGTTTCCGCTGGAGGCTCTAGGTCTTGCACCATTAGACTATCAGCTGTTCCTGTCTTTACAAAACTCCTTTCATGGTATTCACTAGATTTCAATGCAAAATGGCCCATATTCAGTTTAGTAATTTCGTTTTAAGATATAACAAATATTCTCTTCAACTTTTGGCTTAGAAACCATAAATATCTTTTCGATCATTCAATATATGTTTTCCGTTAACTAGTGTCATTCAATAAACTATTTTTCCTTTTACATCACTAACTCCTATCCCTGTACTTTTAACTGACACTGGATAGATTTGTGACAGAAATAATAATAACAAATTCGTTGCCAATTACAATGGATTCGCATGGTTCCGTTTTTATCTCTTATGCTTAGGTGGAGTCTGGAGCTGCGCGACAGCACTGGTCAGACGTGTGCACCTCGCCCCGGAGACAGATCGCCGAATGGCACAAACTCAAGGAGTAGATACCGGAAGAAGAACGATTACTCAACACAAACTACTACACAAACAACTAACATTTAAGTACACACATAAACATTTCACACGAATCGTATAAACAATGGTAATATATAACACAAACAAAAGATATATGGATACGATAATATATTGATCTATTCCATCGCTGCTGTTATAGCGTGAAAACAGCAAAAAAAAACGAGCAAGACTAAATGACCAGTGAGCAAAGACCCATAACAGTGAACCCAGGCAGCAAACACAAGTTAAATCAGACAGAAGCCTGCGCCCTTTTGAAAGACAAATATATAAAGAGCAACAATTCACGCCATCTAAAAATCTTTGCGATCACATATAAACAGTATTTACGGACAACAAATGATCGCAATAAAACATTTGAACGTCAGGAGAAAATCTGGGGCAGTTTTCACATACAGATTCTAGTATTATGAGGAAGTGGAATGACAAATAAAAGTAAGTACAGTTTCGACAAACAAAAAAAATATAAAAGAAACGCCTCTTATGTAGAAGAGTGCAGACATCTGCCAAATGTAGCTAAATACATCTAAAAGTTGCAAAGGGGAATTAATACAAGAGCGAAAATTCTAATAACGAGGAAAAAAGTAACTCAGGGTAAAAACTAGACGGAAAAAGAGAACTGGTAGTACATCCCGCTTAACGAAAATGATGGGATTTCGAAATAACGAAAAAGATCATGCCAACTGCAAGAAAAGCCGTAGCTGAAGGAGACGATAAAAAGCAAAGAAGGATTATGCGTAGTATTAATGAGTTGTGGTCTGTCAGAAGTAAAGCTAAGATGTCTATCCTTGTTCCCGACCCACTTTATATAACCTAACGAGCTGTTTATAATCCAAACAATTTGCTAACTCGCTCCAAACCAATTCGACTACTTATATCGTGAAAACGAAATCCAAGAACGAAATCTGGGGGAAATCTGATGGAATTGATAACAAATATGTTGGGAAATCGCAGCTTCAGTTAATAACATTGGGAGTCGTATTACAAAAAAAGAGACGTGACTTTTCGCGTCACAGCAAATGAGCAGCAATATTCAGGAATTGTTAGAGCTTTTGTTGATGACGTCGATGAAACCAGAGGTAGGTAGAAACGCAATAGGAATATAACGTAACCTTGAGCCACCTCAAGTAACTGCAAGTAATGACTATATCGTATTTTTATTTTGTCATGTTTCAAGTTCATACGCGAAAAAAAAAGAAATCATTTCTAACAATAAAAGCTTTACTAAAAGCGCAAATACCCGAAAACCATAAACAAAGCACACCGAGGTAGATGAGATATCGCCTTTGGAGACGCTACCATAATGGAACCAAGAGGAAAAATGTTCACTCTGCTTTTTTTCTAAAAGCGACTAACAAAAGCGGAAGTAGATCACTCGGATTCTAGGAAAGGTGGATAGAAGTGAAGCAGATGTAACAGAAGTTATCAGACAACAAAAAAAGAAGCACTAACATAATAATAATGAAGTTGATGACACGTCTAATCAGGATGATGAGGACACAGACAAAGACAAAAGACACAGACGGACTGAATACACATTTAACTAAGGTACATCAAACAACAAACCAACTAATAAACCCAAACCGTTATTGAATAAAGATACCGATAGAAATTAGTACGACGGTGGGATATGAGGCAAAGAATAATATATGTTTTATGTAGAAACAACCACCCTCGAGCTTCGCAACTGAAATGCATTGCTTCTTAACAACAAAGCGACAATAATATAAAAGTAATAGAAAAACTAACGATAAATAGACTATTATATAACAACCACAGCAAAAAGGGAATAATTAACGATAACTAGTACAGGAAAAGGAGCAACACGGATTCAACCGCAGATATCGCGACAAAATAATTGTACTCATAGAACTAGTAAGCACTCGATCTACCGGCATGGATGTACGCATCGTCTTTCGAATTACGAAGTATAAAGAAAGCATAAGCGGAGGTGCAGACAAATCTTGAAGTATAATCAGAGAAATAAACCATTGAGAAAATTATATTTTGTCTAAGACGTGAATATCTACAGCAAATATAACACAAGGAACACTTAATATTGAAACGAGAACGATTATAACTTATTGGAATGCGGTAACGCGTAGAAAAAAGACTAACAGTTAAACCCAGCAATTTTGAAAAATGGAACTATACGCGTTTTCGCAGAAGGTGAATTATGGTTATTATTATTTCTCGCAAAATATTGCATTGTCGTGACAGAGATAATTCATAAGAAAATGGTAACTAGACAAGCACGAATTTCAATAAATTAGTAAATATTGAACGTCCATGTACCGGACTGAGGTTCAGACCTCGGCCTTTGTGGTTTCTTCATAAATACAAAGGTTTAGCCAAGGCGTGTAACGAAACAGCTGAACGGACTGGAATTTATTTATAAACAATAAAGCTTTGCATATTGAGAAGAGAACATAACGAACCTCGATTTTGACCAGTTGAAGGGTAGCGGGGGAGAACAGAACTATTGAAGTATGGTTGTTTGTAGATAAAGGTAGGGTAGAGCGAGCAAACGACATAACAAGAGTATCATTAGCAACACTCTGCAGAATTAGGTTCCAGACCGTTCGAACTACTTCGCTCATTTAACGGATTGAGAAAAGGGAAGACGAAATATTGCATTTTTCGTCCCCCTACCCGCCATGATACGGCAAAAAAGCAAGGCTTCGTTATAATGTGTATTGAATGTACCCCGCATTCATAACTGGACCAACAACTGAAATGGTAACAACGATTTCAACAACAATAATTAAGACAACTACAATATTAATTACAATAAACGACAACTAATAGATTCACCATAAAGCGTCAATGTTTTCTTCATTTTAAACCATGTCATTTAGAATTATTCAGTTAAATGTATTGCGATACTATGTCCGAATTCCCATATAGGCGAATCACTTGCAAGAACCTTGTGAAAATTTTATTAGAATGCAAAAAATTGCCATACCAAGATAGTTCCCATGGAAAAATGAATTTTCGAAACTTTAGTGTTAAAAATCATACTCTCGAGATTACAGTTCGACTTATCTTGTGTACACCTTCTCTTTACCGTAACTTTTTAGAATGTTGAGAGCTCCACAGGTATGCTAGAACGCTTCTTTGGATACAGCATACATTGGACTACGAAACTTATCTATTTTCGGCATACACTAGTCATTTACGAAGCTGAGGTTTAAAAACCAGATATACATTCGTCATGACAATGAGTACCCGCTGATGAAATGCACAAAGATCTGCATTGGCATTTCTGATATATCTCACTAGTGCAAGTGGATAACTAGTTAACGTATTTGATAGAGTATACGCTGGACAGGAGCTATAACTTGCTTCGCTTAAACGGGAAACATCTTTGTCCTTACAAGCAAAATGTGGATTTTTAAAAACCATACACGGAGCAAAAAACAGCAATGGCATAAACATAGCTATAAAGGTACAACATCTACGTTTTTACAATCAGGATATGGATTTTTACAAAGCATACACGGAACAAAAAACAGCAATGCTAGAGATGTGAAAATTGCAACTCTACTATTTGTTCACGTAGGTAACAGGTAAGCAAATCTAATATAAAATATTCAGTCTAACGTAGCATAAATCACAAATCCAAATCTAGTTCATAAAATAGCAATTCTTTTTATTTTTCTATGTACATATTTTTACATTAGCGTTCATTTCCCGCGCGCTCTCCATTAAGACCCCTTGAATTTCTATATACCTAAAATAAATACAAACTCATATGCTAATCCGAGACTTCCTTTCGCGCACAGTTAAATGGCGTGAATAAGTCATCACATCATTAACAACCCTGGCATTACGAAAGCAGCAGTGGTCACATATTATCGACAATTTAATGTAGCCAGCGCAATTTTTTAATCACATCGTTTTACAAATGTCAGTTGTATATGTATATGCACTAAAAATGACGCACAGAAAAACCAAACGGGTGCCGTGTCCCATTTTAGGGATACTGTCGAAGCAAAAAAGCTAGTTTTATTGGTCTACAGGGACGCATATACGGCACGTCGTCAACTTCACATTTCAATTAGCAACTCTCCGTCTCGCCGCTAGTGCGTCCAAAAGACTTTTATCGGACTTAGTCAATTAATTGATTAGTTTAGTTTTCGAAGATGGATCGGCACTGTACAAAAATGGCGGTAGGTTCTACGTCTTAGAAGAAGGCCGGTAGAACGCTTGGTTGCAAAATTGGAACAACTACATTTTTCGCTTATGCGTTCACACACACTTTCTCGCAACCCATTTGAAGAACACTCCCAGAAGAGCTCGGCTCCTGCTGAGTTTTCTAGATGACTGCATCCTTAACGGAACCGAAGTATACTTGTGCTGTCAAATTGCATCAAAAGAGCATAGATGTATGATGGTTGGTGACGCAATGCAAGAAATCTTTCGTATCCAGCATTATACTTCTCTGCCGTTCAAACGAAAAGCTGTATGCGTAATGCTGGAATGGCCTAAAAGGGAAAAGTATAGTGGAAGCTTCCGCCGCCTCCAGAAAATGGGTTGAAACCGCCTTGTGCGAAAGGGTTAAATTCTGAACGTCCACTCTCTGGGTCCAAGGGATCTTCTCCTGAAAACAAAAAAAAACGTTCAAGGTCGCCAATGTTGGACTTCAAATTTGATTTAAAAATTAAAGAAACGGGAATAATTTTACCAATTTAATTTATGTCCAGAACTTACCTCGATCGAATTTCGCCCTTTTGTCGGGGTCTGTAAGGACCTCCTTAGCAGCTGCGATGTCGATGAACTTCTTCTCCGCATTTTTCTTATCGATACCTTGGTACTGATCGGGATGCCACTCTGCCGCCAGTTTTCGGTACGCTTTTGCGATCTCTCTTTTACTGGCTGACCGCTTCACACCTAGAATTTTATAGTAGTCTCGTTTACCACGGGATTTCTCCAGTTTCTGTGCTCTTTTAAGGCCTTCACCGGCTCTCTGGCTCTCTTGATCCAACTCACGGGCGGCCGCGAAATCTTGCTTGGCGTTTTTAAAATCATCTTGGTTGATATATGCCTCACCACGATCACAAAGAATATTAGAATTTTGTGGATCGAGTGCAAGTGCCTCGGTACAAATTTGCACCGCGCTTTGCTGGCCACCCTGCAATCGACAAATAAAATCTGTTAGGTGCTGAATTTAATAGGTTACCAGATTGGCATATACGATTCTGTGTTATGTGGAGGTCAGTAAAACTTACGTGATTTATTACGTTTAAGACGCTATTGATAGAGTGTGCACCATAAGTACGTAGTTTTGATACTCTCCCATGATTGTGTCCCCTTACTGATTCACCCAAACGACCAGCTTCTTTTAAGAGCTTCCCTCACCCAAAAACCAGAAACCTTTATTATTCCTTATTACTTAGTAGAAACTCACTTCCGGCAGGGTTTTCTAAATACACTACCCACCGAATTTACACCTTTGCTTACCCCTAGGTTTGGGTCGGTTCCTGTTTTATGCTACTTCGTTACCTACGTTACCTTACATCACATTCAAGTTCACAAGTTCAATAACATTGAAGTTCAAGCTTGTTCTTCAATTATAACTAAATATTCTTATATCTAGGTATCATTTTCCGTCATAAAACTGTATCCTATCCAACATGCTGACATGTTGCTCAGGCCTAACCAATTAGTCTTATTAAAGTCATCGTAATGTCAACGGTGCTTCAAGAAAGGCGCGTGTTTTGAATAGAGCAACTGCTTAAACTTGAAGAATTAATTATTGCAAAATACATAGACTAACCTTACTAGCGCACTGGCACTGCTTGGTCTTGATAAGTCCGACCATCTTCAAAGCCTTTTCCTTGAAAAGTGCTTGGTTACCTTTCTCGACACATTCAGCATGCTTTCCCGCATTATATAGCTCTTGCATACTTTTAACTTGTCCCGCTAACTTCTTTACATTTTTATAGAGGGCCATACACTCCTTATGATCAGGATCCAACTTGAGGCATTCGCGAATGGTAGTTAAAGAGTCATCGGGGTCTCCGTGTTTATAGTAGAGTTGTGCCAAGTGAAGATAACCACCGGTATTGTCTGGCACAGATCGAATCGCTGGTCGGAGATCCGTGATGGCTGACTGTATGTCACCGATAGATTCGTAGCACGATGCACGTAGCTCTCTAAGTAGTCCAAACACAATATACAACATCAACATCAGTAAAAAAAACTAGGTTCTCCTCATAAGTTACTGCACATTGTAATCACACATAAATAGTATATATAACAGTGGACTCACAAATCATCTAAAAAAGTTAGTTTAGTGGTCCAACCTCCCACAAAGCGTACCAGTCAGTATTGAAATTTTAAGTAAAAAATTGATGAATCTGACTTACTAAATAGAAATTGCATGCGTAATTTACCTCAGTTTTAGATTCCACGGGCACTGTTCAAGAACTCTCTGAAGTATGTGAATGACTCCCATGCAATTATTTTGCTCGTGGAGCTGCACCGCAACCGCAATATCGTTTTTAAGTTCTTCGATCATGTGGTAGTGGTGCAACGCCTCAGGATTATCTGGTTCTAAACGAAGCACAAACTCGTAGTCAATGTGAGCTTCGTCTAGGTGACCCTGCGAACAACAGCCAGCATAACAACTTTGAATTATACGTAGGCAAAGGCTGCGAATTTACATAATTAACCACGTTGCAAAGTTAAATATATGCATCTACAAAATGCATTTTAATTTACGGAGGGCCGCTTTGCGGCTGCTCAATTCCTGATTCAGGTTTATATTTTAACTTACTTGTTTGAGTAGGATGTTACCTCTCTGCTCTCTGGCTTTGAGGAAATCATCCTTGAGTTCAATAACACGATTGAGATCTTCAACGGCGAGTTTGGATTTCCCTAAAGCGAGGTATACCGTGGCTCTGGAATAAAAATTCGCAAACGAACGGCCTCAGCATTAATTTTTATTTATTCAAAACATGGCGGCCATTCATGTTTGTCTCGTTTGTTGCTTCAGCAACATTGCGGCCATTTTGTGACCCTTGTGTTTGCAGATTATATAATCAGGCATGTTCACATACGTTTGTAACGTCATTTGTTTGTATTTCTTATATCTGCGTTACAAAATGCAGTAATAACATTAACGATGCTAAACAGACAGACAATTACAGATTTACAATACACAGGCGGATTTGGTTGAAGTCGCTTACGAATCAACTTTACATCCATATTAGACGACAGTTTATGGTACCCAAGAGGACTAAAGTGAACAACAATTTAGTATTTGGTTGCACTAGTATTTGTAAAATCGTAAGAACTACAACTATGAATTACTACTATACAACATACAGACTAAACTTATTTCGTTTATACAATATTCTGATTTCGTCAAACTGGTGCCGAAAACCACACGTTACAATGCCAAGAAAGAACAAACCTCCAGTAGAAGGACTGATAATTCGTATCGTCACCCTCGATAGCTGCGTGATAATGTGACAATGCATCCTGATATGCCCCTCTCTGGAGAAACTGCATACCCATCTGAAGGTGTTTTTCCACTCCGGAACATGATACATACGCTGAAAGCAAAATAGTTAAACATTGCATTAGTAGGAATGTAATCAACTGATCTTCCGTGTTGTATCTCGCTGAAATAAAGCACTCGTATCACGCTTTGAGGCAGCAAGGTAGCGTTGCACAGATGTGGCAGTTTAAACGGGAGCTGAGCTTTTACGATAACTTTAATAACATATTATCCGATTTATCTGTACAATTTGTATCCAGCTTCAAATACTTCGTCTTGAACCTGCTTCTCTTTTAATAGACATATCACTTTCGGAATAATTGTCGATATTTCGCAATGTTTAATCGACGAATCGGACAAAAATTAAAGAAAATGCTTTAGTACGAAGCGTGTTTTCATCGAAGTTCATAGACGCGACTAAAGCGTTCACTTACCTATTTGATAAATACATTTTTTACTTTCTTTTGTTTCACATACGAGAGAAAGATCACAGTTCAAACAATTGACTTTTAATTGTCAGCTGCATAGTGTCCCCAGAATGGCCGGGGTTTGGCCATACATGGGTAACATACAACATTTTAGACTACAAATAAAAATGAATGACAGAACTTGATCAGTCAAATATCAACTAATTCATTTTCAGTTATGTAAATAGTATGGTAATTCGTAGTGGAAATCGTCTAACGATGCGTAGTATTAAGCTTTCCTTGACTTCCCGCCATACGCATACCCAGAGCAAAGTGTTCCGAAATATTAATGCCCATATGGCGACTTGCTTGGACCTGGTAAATCGAAATAATAAACGACATCAGAAAACCACGGTCACAATGTTTCAGCCTGTACCATATTCACGTGTCGGTGCCATATGACATCCAATGTTTGATTCAAAAGCCCTCTACTGCATTCTGTTATTTGAAAATTCACACATTGCTGGTAACCGCAATTCTAACGCAGATTCTCTAGTCAGATTGGCTGATTATTAAATTCGGTGTGAAACTTTAATTAAAGTTCAGACAATACGATCGATGCTAAGGAAAATCTGTGAGACAGCTTTAAGTGAAGGGAGATTCCTGCTGCCGAAACTAGCGCCTTACACACAGCCCTTAGTTGTCGCCGTAAGTTAGCTCCTTAATTAAACGCAGATAAAATCACAATTCTTGATTTTGTATGATTTTACTTTTCCACTATATCGTTCAGTTAATACAATTTTGGTCGCTTAGATTAGCAAGCTTCTCGCTGGTTTAACTGATAGCAGACTACTGGTACACAATTTCGGATTAGAGCGCTACTCAGAATCCCATTGCAAGCCGTTCGGAACCGATTCTCTTTTGAGTAGAAAGACGTGTGAAGGCGGAGTCAAGAACCAGCTGCACGGCCCACGTAGACCCGAGCTCAGTATAAAAGGAGAACGCAAGCCCCGTATATCCGTAAACGTTTTGGACTGAATAAAACAGTTCTTTATATCCGGAAATAACATAATAAAAGCGTATGCCATTGTCACCCTGGTATTACTGTATGCTGTTCTTGGGTTCTACATTTCTCTTTTGATGCTCGCTTTTGACTGCTTCGATAATGGAATCGCCGATAAGATATGACTTATGTAACTATCGGTTGAATACTTTAAAGTCGTTTGGAATGACACAGAGGTTTTTCAAAGTTTTGCGCCAGAAAATCTATATACTAAGTATTCAACCAGTTGAATTTTAACTCTCGAATCGCTATCATTTGCGCTAGCTACCCGCGCCTAATATTACTTCTCTGTTTAGTGAAAGACACGCAAACCTATATTTACCCACCTAATATACTGACTTATAAGTCAGTACTTAGTATACCAATGTAATAGATTTTTGCACAGCACAAGAACTAGCTATCTTCTTGCTAAATGACTACTGCACATTTTGTATACCCTGCCCTGTATACCCTAATATGCTTCAAATAATTTGTTCTAGTGGATACTCACACAATAGATCGGTGAATGCAACTATAATCAGAGCGCTCAATTTTGTGAGAGCCCCCATATTACTACTTCGGGGGTTCACGGATATCTGCCGAATGCTCTTCTTCCGAACAACCGTTGTCAATTAGACGTGCCGAACAGGGTCTCCACAAATCAACTGAACCGAACGCGAAGCGGTGTTTCACTCACGCACACTATACAATCGAGCACAACCACAAACGAACCACACGTCAGCTCTTATAGCTTGACAATAATAACATTCGTGTGCGACTCCCATTGGTTGCCAATCGGTGCTAGGGGGCGCTGAAGTGGCCTCCCAAATTTGTTGCAGACGACTCGCGCGAGGAGAAACAGCTGACACTTTAAAATAGGCAGGTTTAAAATATAAACAATACAGGGTACACTATAAGCTGATGGACTAGAAGCCACAAGCACCGATTCACGTCTCGTGAACAAAACCTCTTTTTTAGGTCGATATGAACGGATATTAATAGACGCTGCTAACGGACAGAAGCACTTGGTTAGATTTATTTTTATGGAGTGCGCTAGCTAAATAGAATATCCACAAAAAATAATAACTGCGTCAGCGATCTATAAAGTATTTCAGTAGTAACATCAATGGAAAAGGTTTAATGTAAAAACACAATACTAATCTCCCTTGAAAAATCCCTGTACTGGAGGAGGAAAAATGTTGCGCCTCTTGTATATGAGATGTTATGGCATTCATACCTTTAGCATGTATTCTCTAACAACTTGAATGAGTCATGGAATATAAGGAAGGCGTGAGTATCTAATGCTAGGTCTTTCTCTCGTAAATAAGGGTTCGTTATGCAAGAAAGGAAACATCTGTAATATCACTTACTGATACCCACCTCACATACCTCTCACATTGTTGTACGGATTTCTTTTGAAAAAAAAATACGTTTACTTGCAATGCTGTCTTTCAGACCGTAAAAATTATGATTGAAATTAAACGATCTTTAGCGTACATCAGTATTTTATGAGTGAACCACATGATACCTGAATAATTTATTATACAAAGGGTTTACCGATATGGCAATAGGCTATGATTAAGTATCATGCAGGTGCACCTTAGCGTTTGAACTCGGAAAACAAAGCATATGTTATAACAAACTGACTTAACTTATTTACATGGATATATTTAAGGATATTTACAAGTCCAACGAGGTGGCTAGTTAGCAACAAAATCAGTTTCTCGTATTGAACAATATAGCAACTAAAAATCAATGAACCGTAATCAAACACAACATTTGGATTTCAAATGAAATCTTAGTTGATTCGTTGAAAATGCTATGACAAGTTAGGTTCCTTAGTTTAATTCAGGCGTTCACAATAGTCGAAAATCTGGGAAATTAGTTATCCCGGACTCGAATCATAAAAATCACATGTGTGCGGCGTAGTTGTATAAATAGAACAACAACAAGATATTTCGTATTGTTTCTTTCCTACCTAATTAACCCTGCAGTGCGGCTGCAAGTTTGACTAACCAAAATGATTGATATCAAAAATAAATACGACCGACTGATTCAATATTATCTTAGTGGAACATTTCCGAACTAAAATTGCCTAGTCACTTTCAACTGTCTGGGACGTGCTCCTAAGCCGGTTGAACTCAGCGTAGTGCTTGAAGCAATATAATATAGAAACAGTCCAATTCTATTAAAAGTACATAACTAGATCATACCGTTACAAATGATTTCTTAACAACTGCGGTTTACATTTTCTAAGCCAAAATCGATCTTACCTAGTGATACGTTTATTAATTCACATATTGTATAATGGCTGCACTAAGACTTACCGTCGAATCATGCTATTCATAAACTCATATAAATACGTAGCCACATTTGCAGAACCGAGCACGTTTTGCTCATTATGGTTGCCTGTGCGCCTCATAGCGCCACTTTTTTTTTCATTACACGTTGACACGTTAGAGGGGAGTGTCAAGCAGCAGCGCAGTATAAGGTTGATGCGCTGCATTTAATTTGTCTTTTCGTAGTTTACCTTGGTGGTCACTGCAGGCTAGCTTGTGTTTTCCGCTAAATTATTAGAAGAATACAGATTTTTCCTTAACTACTAATTTAATATGGGGATTCTTAGACTACTTGAACCACTATGCACAGCAGCCCACAGTGATATATCTATCTTTGAACTGATTTGCATCCTAGTACTACTGTTTTTGAGTTACGTAAACATCAACATTAGACAGATATCAACATTATCATTCTAAAAGTTGTTTGCCTTAATAATTACGTTATCAAAAAAAGCCATTGTCTGCTGTAAGCAAATAAAAATCCATTTTGTATTTGCTCTTTGAATTATCAATAATTCATATTTCACGTACCTACAGTAACTTTAATTGCTTCGAGTCGCACAGCTGCAAAGATAGTTTTTTCGGAAATCATTGTGGGCGAGGTTCATTTGGGGTTTAAACAAATACCACAGTTGACTGACGTGAGTGAATACAGGCTTCTTGCGAGCTATTTGGTCTATCTCGAATAATTATATGCTCCGGTAAATAGTTCCGACCTATATAATTCGGCAGCTCTGCTCTCCGAATTAAAATAGTAGCACTTGATCCAAATACGAAAACATAACTTCTAGCCCAAGATTTGGAATTATCTACCTAACACGATAGACAACTTAGTGGATAGACGGTGGTCTATTAGAAATGAGAATATGCGGTGCTGCTTTGTGGAAAATATTTAATTACCCTAAACTCCTTTTCTATAATGTACCGAAGTTCTATCCGCCGGTGTTGTTGTGCTCGTCTTCTACTACTAAATGAATTTAACTAAAATGTTGAATCAGTGGCATATATTTAATTCTAGTCATTACGAGAACCGTTAGATATAGAAAACGTCTTCCATTCTACGATTGTTATCTTGACCGTCGCAACATTCTTTTATTGTTCAAGGTTGCTTTCGCAGTCAAATCATTACTTAAATGGTTGTATTTGTTCACTTAAAAAGAACGCCTAAATACTTCGGTTCGATGACGTAGTTGATAGAGGTCCTTAACACACAAGTAGAAACTGCGTACAGCTTTATATATCGACATCTATAGCATTTGCTAGGGCTACACTGCAATAATATCCCAATCACCAAAAGCAACATCATCATAATCATTACATACATTTCATTATGCTAGCAGACAGCAGGTGTTCGAGCGGATTAATTTACAAATATACACAATTATTTGTACATATTTTTCACAAATCAACTCTCAAAAAATTGAGAATTTTACTATTAGTGGCGTTAACCACCAAAAGAGCAATACTAGTAATAGGTTATCCCTCATTCATTCTTAGCCTATGGCCTTGTTACATTTATACACTTGTCACAGACACTCTTAACGATGCCTTCTGAAGCAAAATTTTTACGATGCCGAATAAAGACAAATGTGTGCGCGTCCTTGTGCAACTCAAAAATTTAACAGAGTAATTTAACCTATAATGTATATGTTTATGCGTCTATTTATATAGAATATTCTATCATATTCTACAACTAGGGCGGATCACAACTGAATCACAAGTAATTGAATTACCCTAGTCAGGAGAAAATACATAGCTAGTTTTTTTCGACAAAAGTCAATATGCCACACAAAAAACCCAAAACTTCAACTTCTCTCAAGGAGAGCCGTCTATATCTATAAGCTATCTTCTAATAGCGATCATGCCGAGACCGAGTCCAATTTGCTTGAAATGGTATGACCCTTCAAGGATGACCACAACAACTCCTCCCCTTTTGACGCTTTCCCAGACCTGGCAGAGTCCGGAATCAATGTCATCTTCATTTTCATGGACGTCATCGTAAAGAAGATGTGACACGACGAGGTCGTGTGTAGAAAGGCAGCGACGGGTCGTTCGAATTGTTGAGCTTTAACAGATAACGATAAAACGAAACCAACGAAGAAGGGTGTTATATTCTTACAACAAAAACTGGAGCTCCGGCTACAGACGGGATAGAAGGTTAAATACCAAAATGTAACATGCGCGTCCGCCAAGCTTATTGGATGAATTCGTGGTTCTCGTTCTCTATATAATGGTTTATTTTTTTTTTTCGTCTAATTCTGCTTCTGTGAACACAAAGCTGGCAAGAAATTTTTGAATCAATACGCTTGAAGAGATCATTATGCCTCATACCTGATAGATGAATCCTTTGGTGGAATTATGTTTACATCGTCGTAGTGAACATTTGCCACAGCCTCTTCCGCTACAACAACTGATTTCTTCTCGGCCATTTTCCAAGCAGAGAATATGTTTAGGTATAGTTTCTCTAGCGCTACGGTGCCAAATCCATATCCCCTCTTTCGTACAAATTCCTCATTTTTCCGTTGCACAAACAATTGATATTTTATAAACCGATGTAGGGCAGCCTCGTCAATAAACACTTCATCTATGTTGACATTTCCTTTAACTAAACGTCTTGCAAGAGTTTCATCATCCTGATGTTTTTTCTCTATGCGCATCTCCATTACGGCCTTCCGAGCAGTAGCCTCATTTCGTTCTAACTCTTTACGAAACTCCTCTTCTTGTTTTCGGATGATCTGTAAAGCACGATCACCTTCTTCTACCATCCTGAGAATATCGGCCTCATTTAGGTTTAGCTCTGCGTCCTTACTAATTTCATAATCGATAGCCATTGCTTCAATTTCATCATTGCTATCAATGTCTGATGCATTCTCTGTACCGATCGCATTTTTATTCGGATTCTCAGTCTTAAATAGAAAGCTGTCGTTTTGGAGTTCTTCGGAAGTCTTTTGTGCTTTTTCTTGAGCGATGATAGCCTTCTGAACTTGCTGAAGTTCATCACGCAAGCGATGCTTTTTATTATGTAACTGTTTTAACTTTGACTTCTGGTTAGGTAGGATAATTTTTATATGATTTTCTATTTCGTTGATTTTCGCTGTGATGAACCGTTCCTTAGCTAGCAACACAACGGCGGAGGTAGACTGTTTTCTTTCACTATTATCTCCACTGTAATTTCACACAATTGATAATAAAATCAGTGAGTGTTGAAGATGTTAATGATTGCATTCTAAAGGTATTTCAAAAAAAGTTTTGGATGGGTTAAGTTTTCTTTCATTATGAAATTGTTGATACTAGACATATGATTTTTTTATTTGATCCATGCTAAAAATACACATGAACTTCTGTATACAAGAAAATACATCAAACAGTATTAAAAGGGCTCAAATGACATCATTTTATAGATGGGCACGTGTTTTAATTTTAAAGTACATTTAATTTCTTTTGTCAATTTCCACGCTGTTCACTGCATACCCTTATTCGTATCCGCATTTTACAGCAATTCTGCTTGAGCAAAGGGCATTCGTCCAATTTTATTAAATCAAGAATAAGTACTAACTATCTGAAAAAATTAGTCACCTAATTTAGGTACTAAGAAAACAAAAGTCAAAGAAACTCTCACTGTTGGTCCAAAATATCCTTTTTTTGTCGCTCAAGTTTGTCAAATTTCTGTATCACAGCTACGCGGGCTTTCTCGGAGTAATTCTTCATTTTCTTGAGGGCTTTTAGCCTTCGTTGATGCTCGCGAAAGACTTTATATCCGACATCATCTTGCGAACGCATCGCGCGCTGAATTTCTCTTACGGCCATCTCCTGCCGTTTTCTTTCCTTGACTAGCCATCGAAGTTCCTCTTTTTTCTCAAGGTATGCATTGTTTTCTTCCGGAGTCATACCAATCAGTGCCATTGGGTCAACATCACGTTTGAATGCCTTTGGCCTGTGTAATTACCCATTACACATACATATTAAAAATCAAATTTTTATTATAAAGCTGTATGTGGTCGCGGCGACTATATAGCAATCGCGAAACAATTTTTTGAATAAAGGTAATTGTTTCGTAAATTTATTAAGCGTTTGCATCAGTCTATCCATAAAGCTTTTGTATGTTCGCAAATGGTTTTCAACTTAAGGAACATAGGGCACAAAATCAAACACAAAAAACCAAGGTTTTTATTCAGATTTATAATGTTATTTGCTTATAAAAATATGTATTAACCACAGATAAGCTCTTAAATGAATTGTCTAGTTTGGAGTCACTAGCGGAATACTGTTTCAATAAATGCGGAAAAGTACTAACAGTTTACCCGCACTTAGTTATGTGATACACAACAAGTTGGTGTTTCCAAGTGAAAATTAGCAACAGTTTAACACGCATTCTCACCTTCGAGCCGGGTTCCGCAGACATGTATTCTTGAAAGTCTGTGTGCGGCGTTCGTTACTTACGATATTCATCGCCTCGTTAAGTGCTTCCTATAAACAAACCAAAGTACCTACTTAAATACACACTGCAATCGCAAAAGATGGTTTAAGACATCATGATTATACAAAAGCATTAGATGATTGTTGGCATCTTCCCTTTTGTCTGCCTTTATCGCCACAAGGTGCTATAGAAATCTCAGCGCTTCTAAAATGAGTGTTACAGTGTCCTCGTTCTTAGGGGTAAGTTAAAAAGCTAGTGGACTTAATAACTGAAACTAAATTGAAAAGAAAGCCTCACCTTGTAATTAATGCCGTTCCACTCAAATGAAGGGTTCATATCGATGTCCCCAAAGGAGATGTCGTGTTGGAGTTTGAGTATGATAAGCCTTAGTGCTGCAAATGAGTCTTCAGCAGACGAGTGCCCAGCTGCCCCTGCGGATTGAATATCCTCGCCAAAGAACGTCTTCATAAGCACCTTTAGTTTCGACTTTTGGTGTCCACCTATATACAAACACGTAACAATGTAAGCCATCGTACTGTTTTTTTTTTGGGTAAAATCAGCATACCTAAAAATAGCGTGATATGTAATTGCACTTCGTATAGAGATGTAAAGAAGCTAGTGCATTTTATGTACGTGAGACCTATCTATATCCTTCAATGCACTATCACGGGTATTTATTCAGAAAGGAAACATGTTCACGTGAGACTTACCTTTGACGCTATAGCAAATCGACGTGTCGATACAATAAGGATGAGTGATACAGAGTGCCTTGAGGTCGGAATCAAGGGAGTGGCCGACGAGGATGGCATCTGGAGGAAGAAGTTCAGCAAGCTTTTTTACAACATCTTCCCGGGTCATGGTAACACCTTGCATCATTTCCGGTGTAATACCTGAAATTCCCCAAAGCGCATTTCACGACGAAGTATATCGATACTCCTTGTTAGAAATTCTCAGTGTTACCCATATGTTGACCTGCCAAAAATAAACGCAAAAAACAGTCTCGCGAAGCTGTGATCATTTTTAGAACTTGAAAAATACTCTATCGGGGAATGTTGTTTCTAATTAAATTCGATGGAACACTTATACACCGATAATTGAAAATCTTATTGGTGAATATTCTTCCACTTGGGGGGTTTGCCTGTATCCTCACCAGAGAACTGGGTAAGGTAGTTGATTATTCTGCCGCGTGGTTTCACGAGCTCGTCGAGAAGGACGATTCCATCCTCATCGACAACAGTAAGTCGAGTGAGTTCACTGATCATATTCATTGTGAGACACATTTCACAATCCACACCAAACATACGAGATTGCCGAGTCACCTGCATACCACGTAGTGCATTAACTTAAGCGCATTGCGTAAAGCATGGCTCATCTTTAGAAAGGCTAATTTATAGATGCTAAAAGTACGATGGCACTAGATTAACGTAAAAAATTTGATTGATCTACCTATTTCGAAAGTACTGTAAGTGTTCATTTGGGTGGTTTATGTACCGATCGCCTTTTTGTGTCTCTCGTATTTATTATTCAATAAATGTTTTAATATACCAATTGGAAACTACAGTATGTGGCTAGCGATGGTTCGAATTTCGTAATTCGTTGATTCAAAGTTACCCAGGTATTACTTACTATAAATGTGCCTAAAAGTTTCACATATCATTGTCACAATAATTCCTCTCACCGGGGCGTACTGTTTCCTTAACGAGGAGAACTCGAGATTAAATCCGTTCAGCTTCATATCAGTTAATGAAAGCATCAAATATCTGCGATCAAACATTTCCGGTTTCGACCTGTCTAGGTTTCCTGGGTTTAGCACTGTTCCCACTGGGATCAGTCCGTTCACTTCCTCTGCAAAGTATAAAATGTGTAGTTCTAAGCATATTACCACAAAAAAAACTGAAAAAAACCTTCATATTTGATAAGCGAAGACAAAAAGGTAATTAGTTCCGCTATTAGTGACAAGGGCTCCTGTAATCATGGTTAGAAACTGCTATTAATTCAAACCGTGTTTAGCTGAACAAACCTCTAAGGGACTAAACTAACGTTGTATTTCGATACGGCGTTCACCAACAAAAAAAAACTTAATTTCTCAAGTGTCTTTTTATGAACCCAATACGAAGTTTTTGTAAAGCTGTACGAGGCATTTTGAAGCAATCGAATCAAATTTATAGAAGTTTTGAAAAACTAGAGTGAGCAGTTTTAGAGGAAAGGAGTGCGCATATATAACTAACTTACTGGGCTTTGGTGCTCTAATAATGCGATTGAGATATTGAAGAAGGTCGTTTCGACCTTTGTATTTTTCCTGATTCTCAGCTGTGGTAAGCTGCCCGGAGTCCTGCTTGAATTGTTCCCACTCCTCTTTCGCCTTTTTGAACTCCATTTGCTTCTGGTCGAGTTGCTCTCGAGTGCGTTGTAGTTGTGCAGCAGATTTCGCATTACCGCCTTTGGAGTCCCCGCTTTGAAGTTTTCGGAGTTTGTATTCGAGGCTAACATGCTCCTGATTCAGACGTTCAAGCTTCTCCAATAGTACTTTTAAATCGGGTCTGCTAATCTTACTTAATGGAAAGCCTTCTTCGGTAAGGCTTTTGTCACCCGTTAGATCTTCGTTCTGCCTTACTTCACCATTAGTTCTGTTCGTGTGTTTTGACTCAGCGTACGGTAATGCGTGCCGCTTCTTTGGATGTAGCAATGTCCGTCCAATCTGACCTCCCTGAAGTTCGACGTTATAATTATGGCGTTGAGAGAAACGAAGAGCAAATTCCTTAATGTGCCTTTTGATATTCGTTTCCTCATCCTAAGAAAATAGGATAGATCAAACTTTTAGAATAATACAACATGTTGTAGAGTAATACACCAAACAAGGCATTTTTTGGGTAAAAATGTATTGTTTGGTGTCAAAGCTCGATTGGCACAAAATTTTTATGCGAGAACATTTTTGTCATAATATAATGAACTATGATAATAATAATATAATGAATATAAAGGTAATTTTACCTGAGCGACGTCGTCATTACTGGCATCGTCTGACGCTGAGTGTTCTTCAACGTTGTTGTCCACGGCGACGTCTTTAGTATTTAAGAATGAAGGATTTCGTTCTGTAGCTGGCTTGAGTTTACGTGTTCCACTGATTTCACTGTTTAAAAGTTATACATATCAAAGAAGTTAAATTTGAAGTTTTGTATTATTTGAACTTTGAACGTGATTCAAAGTACCGCCTTTTTCCAACCTGGGTTATGAACGTTACTTATTTGGCAATCCTTAACTATCTACCTTTTTTTCAAAATCTATACTAAGCAGCTACCAAATGTTTTACAGTTTTGTTGTGTGTGCTCAGTAGCCTAGCCGCGGGTACCATTTAATTTACTACATTTTTTAAATACGTTGAACAATATACCTACCTAACCAGTGTTTTAATGATTGTAGCATCCTTCGAAAACGAAAGCTCGACCTGACTTAGATCCGAGCCCGTGGTGTGGGCTAGAGCCAGCGACGGCTGCAGTACAACCGAAAATCCGTTTTCTGCTACGATCCGACGAAATGAGCCTGACAAACCCAAAATTACTATTGAATTACCAAATATTGTGTCATTTTCTAGTTGTAGTAAGACATGGAACAGAATGTGGACGTCTGATTAATCTCACTTGTCTTTGACAATTACGAACTTAGCCATGCTTAACATAGTGCTTTATTATAGTCTACTATTATTGGTTATATAATTCTTTCCTATTTCAACTGCGGTTGAAAATTGATACTACGCATGCATCAGTTCTAAAAGAAAAGCGCAATATATATATATATATATATATATATATATATATATATATAGTTAAGGTAATATATACTTAAATTCGAATATTTATAAGCAGTTGCGCAAAATCGAAGCCTCATATGATGAGCTACACCTACTGTAATAATTCTGAGTGTAAGCCAGTATGACGTTTCTATCAAATATGGTCGACCACTAACTAAGTCGGCCATATATCATACGAGCACAATTAAGAAAAAGTACGCAGTGGCGAAGAATACTAAAATCCACACTTACTAAGCATATTAGGCTTTTGGGATAAGTCAGTCATGGATATGTTTTCCACAACGACGACAAGAACCTGTGATGTCTTCTCGAGATTTGTCACGTTGAACGTTTCAGCACTCTTCGAGATGGGGAAACCAGATAATGAAAACAGGAGTGAGCCTAAGTTGGCCAGTGGTAGAGGATCCGGAAACGGGAAGGACAGTGATGATGTCTGTCGTTGCCATGATAAACTGCAGTCCAAATTGATATGGATATTAATATAAACAGCGTGGTATTTTTATTGCTCAAAGAGAAACTGTCCGCAACCATCTTCTCCTAAAATTTTTAGATATGTACAGGTAAAATCGGTTCGCAGAGCTACAATAGGATATAATTGAAATTAAAATCATAAGCATTATATATTTATATTGGTACCTTATATATATATATATATATATATATATATTATTAGAATTACGGACGGTCTTAAACCATATAAAACGTCCTCGACAGTAGTAATACGTGATATGATATCGTTATCATACACACGGTCGATTGCTCATTGTCTTCTGAATCAAAACATTCTCAGTGACAAGTAAATTTACACAGAGAACACAAAGAATATTACGTTTATGTTGAAAAGTGAACGTTTAATTTATACGAGATAGTGTGAGTGTATAGTTCAAAGGCGTGAGACTTACGGATGTTCAGGGTCCATGAAAGCAGAGGCCCGGGAAACGTGTTCATATTTTACTTTTTACCTATTTATAACCTGAATCAAGAAAGCCAAGTGTAATTTTGTGCGCAAACTGCACTCTTACCGTGACAGACTGAGATTCCAATTATCGCAACAAGAAATCTTTTTTACCTATCAAGAATGTGTCACTACACCTTTTTGTATTAAGCTGTAGAAACTTTTTTCTGCTCACCTAATTTGCGGTATATCCTGTGACACCAAGCCTCCATCGCGTTTGCTGTTCTCTTTAATAGAGTGTTTGTGGCGTTGCTGGGTTTCGGCAAGCGCCCGTTGGATCTTCGCCAGACTCATATTCACTTACATTTAGTTAGCGACCACAATTAAATTATTAACAATCAAGTAAAGAGTTTGACTAAATAATCACCAGCATCGATGACACTCAGTATTGCTATAGTGCACTAATGAAACGATTCGTTGCACATGCAGCCTAACCGTGTGCGCCGATGGCGAGCAGACACCCGTCAAAACAGATCACAATACCACAGCTTCAGTGTGCGCTTTGCGGTTGGTAAAAATTTCACACGTATGTGCACCTTAGTGTACTTTACTAGAACACATCTCATGTAATGAATATTCACATTCGCTTTTAACTAGGTAAATTCTTTCTATGCACTCGTATTTATCACCTACCCGGTCAGGATGATTTACCCAGCTAAAATAGCGGACAGTCAGTCCGCGCGGAGTGGATTGATGTTACACAGTATTCGAATGTGGCCGCTCTGTTATCAACGAGAACAGATTTCATGGTCAAGAATTTATTTGCATTGACGGAAAATTCATGACAAAATTCGAATGGTTCGTTGTGTCGTGTATACAGGCAGTGGGTAGATCATGCTGTAGAAGAATATCAGCCTTCTAGTATATTCGTTGGGTAGGTACTGTACCTTGGAATGAACCTTTTACTGTACTTCAAACAATATGGTGACTGCTACATATCAAAACAACGTAGGTCTGAAACCCAATGAGGTTTCAAGGCTCTTTCACAAAAAAGAAAATAAGGTAGGATGCATAGCCTCACACAGAGTATATTAACGTTCTCGAGCTTTCCAGTTTCACCAGATTTGCTCTCATATCTTGCAGCAACCGTTAGGCAATGTCTCTCGAACGCAAAGTATACGCCTTTGAAATATCTAATGAGAACTAGAGAAACTAGTACTTTTACAGGCTAGTACATCGTACCAATTTATTTTTGAAAAAAGCATTTTTATACGCATCTAAAAACTATGCATCATGTCAAATTTCAGACTCGCGTAAAGGATATCTAATAACTGACAGATGAGTCCTACGAATCAATAATGACTACAGAAGAGTCTTTGGAGCAACTCTTAGATTTAGGCCTTCCACCGAAACTTAATCAAGTCTCTGAGTGTCCTTTAGATGAGGATGATTTTGTCGCGTTCCGATCTCAGGGAGACCAGTGCCTTCACATTGCTGAAAAACTTCAGATTGGTATGACCAACTATTTTCTCAATAATATTACGTATTCTTTACTTGTGTTACGTTCTCAAATACTATACTTTTAGATTCCATGGTTTGTATTACCCTACTGAAAATCCCCTTAATGAAAAAGCTATTAGATTCTGCCTTTGTAGCTTTTTGACATATAACATACCCTAAAACACATAACCCTAAAAAACACGGTATCTGGTCGAGGTTGTCTTGTCTGGCTTTATATTTAAATAAATCCAATAATAGTCCAATAATTAACCAGATACTTGTTATGTGTTATTGCTTTGCACGGACAAGACAGGAACTCCAAACAGCTCTGTACAATTTTTATTATAATATCAAACAGCTCTGTGCAATTTTTACTATAATATTCAATGGGCAACCCGCTGATTCCAAGATACTCGTACATGTTGACAGGCCGTTCGTCTTTTCAATATGACTGATCGTCTTTGCAGAATCGATAACTATCGCGCAGTGGCCAGTCGCTGCTTTGCTGTTCGCTTACGAACATTCAAATGCACCATACGTGTCAACTCAAGCCAGAAAGATTTCGCTAAAACTCTTATCAACGCTAAAAGTACTAAAGGATGTGGTGGAACGAGTTTTTGAATTTCTGAAGCCAAGGCTTACACGGGAGAGCTGGAAATTCTATATTGGCAAGTTCATATTTTATCCTGAATTTCGTTGTTTTATCTTTTGAATCTATAAAATTAATTAATTGCACAGTAATTGGGAGTTCTATGCCCATTTTTTTGTTGACGCAGGGAACTTACCCAGTGTTTGTTTACTTCCACGTAACATTTAAAAGTGCCTTTAAAAACTGCTGTATTGTCGTTGCATGGTAAGAGGAATTTTAAGTTCGGTTTCCGAGACAGGATGTTTTAAGTACAAAGCCAATATTTTATACTCATTTCGCTTTTTCGCGAATTAAAAAGCAGCCCAGGCCATCTGAATTATGCATCTGGCCTAGCAGACTCTATATACAGGGCCGTTCGGGGGTAGTTCGTTAAATTCAAAGGTGGCATCTTGCTAAGAAATGCACACTTCCATCATGCATTTATCCGAAAAAAGATCGTGATTTGGGTTCTGGAACGATTTTGAAAGAAGGTGATCGATAATATCCCAATTGAAGCAATAGAAAAAGATGAATAAAACTTCTACAGACAAGGCAAAGTGATTTTTCTCTACAACGTGGCAAAAGACATTAGTCCAGCTTGAAATGGGTTGACTGCAAAGTTTTTTGTACTTATACTAATAATTTGATTTCGGTCTAACGGATTACCACGCTTCCCGATCTCTGGCAGATGAAATTCGTGATAGTACTTATAACAATTAGAATCGTCCCACTCACTGAGTGAACGAGTTTTTCAATATCGAGCCTGAAACTTTGTGACGAAAGATGTGAAAATTCGTTATTCGTTATTAAGATTTGAGTCGTGAGAACGTTGAGATTCTATTGAGTAAGTAACGAACAAATAACAACACAATATGATTTAAGCGTATCATTGATATACTGTTAATTTGATTCGACATATTTGTTTAGGTGAAAGGTACATTTTAATATCTGTATGCCAGCGTTTTCCGTTACCCGAAGCCCATCTTCCGCCAGTCCTCAACATCTGCGATTCCCACTTGCCTCAAAACAAATTAGTGGGTGCTCGATGTCTCGTACACCTCAGCAAGGGTAAATTAGTTTTTTCAATTGTAGTTAGGCTTAATTGGCAATAAAGCGTTATTGTTTGTTTGCTACAATCTGTAGTCGTTTTCAACAAAACGTCTCAGTGACTTCTAGAAGGGCGGTGCTTTACGCAATTTAAACGCGATGCTTCGATGACTAGGAGACATGAGTTGACGCTCACCACCCCAATTTGTTTCATCAAAAAAGAAAGTATAAATTTGCACTATTTGTCAGGGACATGGTTTATCCTTGTCTTACTATGACAATCTGCGAGAGAGGATCATGTATCAGAACGTGTCGAGGCAGGATTATTTGTATAGTCTTCTATGCGTTTTTTTCTAGAATTCACCCACGATAACAATAGAGGCGGCCGTGCAGATGTAGTTGTCGACGCATTATTGAGGCTAACATATGCTCACGATGATCTAAAGATTGTGGCGCTCGCCTACGAGGTACGTTGATAGACAGTAGTTATTTAGCCACTACAACAGCAGTACATGTAATATAGGCAGAGTCGTTCCTATTCATACATTACGATTATTCTTATTTTCGCATATGCTAGCACAAAAATGTTTTAATACGCGTATTCTTATTTTCAAATATGCTAGCACAAAAATGTTTTAATTCACGAATCAAGAAAAAAAACATAGGGAAAAACTGGCGTATTTTTTTGGTATATCAGTATCAAAAACTAAATTCTAAAGATAAGGTTGACTTACTTTTTACATACGTGCTTTACTGTGATTTACATCTTCGCTGTCCTTACAAAATGTCTTTGGAGGATGTCCATACGCATTCTTTGATAAATTTATAATGACAACTTGCTGACCCTGTGTACGGTAATATTGCTGTCCGCTCACTCTTCAGGGTCTAGAACTTTTGTTACTGAAGAGTGGTTCTTGTCATTTGCGAAGAAGTGAGATCTACCTTCATTTGCTGAGACAATGCGCCATGGCGTTCGCTATAGAGGAAAAAATACTACTTGGGCAAATTTTGATCCGATTTGTGGACGGCATGGGTCAAGCTGCCGGGGAATTTGCTCAAACGACCTTAGAAGTCGCTGAATTCTGGGCAGATGCTTCCGCTACACGAATATCGGTATGTAATACACTTTCCTGTATGTCCGCTACTCTCTACCATAAGTGATCCTCCATGAACGCTTTACAAAGATGTGAAAGATGCGGTACAAGAGAAATATTAGTACACCGGGGTTTCATTTCTAAGAGAGGGACCCGCATTACCGAGCGCCCACTGTAAATTGCGTAGATATATAGAAGCCGGGATTCCAAATTGGTAGAATTTAGTTTATGCTACTTATCAAATTCAATGTTTTTTGATATCTCAATAACGCATCTAACCAATACTAATGAAATAAATAGGACAGCTATATGTATCAAATCTATACCCAAGTAATATTGGTATGCAATGTGTCACTTTTGAAACACTTGAATGCTGTGTAACCTTTATAGGCGATGTGCCTGCTGCAAAGCGCCCTTTCTTGTGGAGCTGTTTCGACCAGTTGGGAACGCGTCGCGCGGATTCTTTTAAATAGCGCAATCCGGTGTACACAGAAGAATCATGAGGAGGTGCAAGCTATCTTTCTTTGCAGGCAAATCCTAAACAAAGTTCGGACGTATCCGGAATCACCTGAAGAGGTTGCTGTTTTTGATCTTCTTCGATAGTTTTAACATCAACTAAGTGTTTGACATGATTGTGTAATATCTGGCATTACAGAAACTGCAAGTGTCATTTGTAGCTGCAGTTATATACAATAACAACTAAAAAATTTAACTGTAATTATGAATTTAATTTACCGTAGACTTATATATGTAATAAATGCGCACTGTTCTGCTCACTGGTTTTTCCTTCAATGTCATTTTACTTGAATGTTATTAATTATAGTAACTGTTATTTGTCGCCTTGTCTTTTGATTAGCGGTCTATCAGCCTCTTACTAGCGGAATAAAATGGTAACAAACGCACTTCTTACGAACCTAACTCAATTATTAAATTGATAAATCTATATTGGGAGTACTAACAAATAAATTGAATGTCATATCAATACTCAAAATTATTACTAATTATCATTAT